AACCCAAAGAATGGCATTTATGAACCCTAGATACAAGCTCTAAACATGCATAAACACAAGATTATGCATCAAATCACTCATGAACATCAAGAACATCAATAGAATAGCAAGATTCATCATAGCAAGTATAAAATAGGTTTTGTAGAGCATGGGTTACCTCTTGTAGCCTAAATACTCCTTCTTCAACCCCTAGATCTCCTCTTGAAGCTCTTCCTCTACAAAGTCTTCCCAACACAAACCAAAAACCACACAAACAACCCAGACTTAGATAAAGATAAGAAGAAACCAACTAAAACACTATCTAAGCTCAAGTCTTACCCCTCCTAGGATCTTGGTGGATGAAAGTTGGAATCTTGAAGGATTTCTTGCAAGGTTGAGGGGAGATTTTGGTTTAGCTTGGAGAATAAGCTAAACCTCTAGAGAGAAGGTAGAGAGGATTGTAGAGAGAGATGGAAAAGTGGGAATGATTGGGGATTCTCTTGGGTTGGGTAGGATCCTTAGGCTAAAATCTGAAAAAGTTGCAAGGTGGACCCCTTTGAATCACTTTAAGGCTAGGAAGGAATTAAACACTAGGTACAAGGCATAAGGCACTATGTACAACTTGTTGACTAATGATTTTAGTCAATTTTAGGTCCTCTGACTATTTTAATAAGGAATTAAGGAGAGTTTTACAAGGCAAGCATAGAATTAATTAAATAATTAATTCTATTTAATTAAATGATAGATTTTCGGGATGTTACACTCTCTCCCCCCCCCCCTCCCCCTCCCCCTCCCCCCCGAAGTTTTGTCCTCGAAGCTTGGTTACAACGAGGTTCAAAAGGAAACAACGATTGATTGGCAAGTGTATCAAGGGTCTAAGGTGTTTTCAAACAAGGGTTGAAGTAATAAGGTCTCCACTAAAAACTACTTAAAACAACCAAACTAAGACTAACCAACTTACTTACAATTAAATCTAAACAACAAAACCATAAACGACTTCGGTACCTTGTGTGAACAAGTCGGGTTAGCGCTCCCGCATGGCATCCTCCAACTCCCAAGTTGCTTCTTCGGTTCCGTAGTTGGACCACAGCACTTTCACCATCTTCACTGATTTTCTGCAGGTTTCCCTTACCTTAGTGTCTAAGATTTTGATCGGCCTTTCCTCATATACATGTACTTCCTTCGCCTCGCTGAAAGAACTATATCTCCATTCTCCTCACTAATCACACTGCATCAGTCATTGGAGAATTCGACTTTGTAGCCCTTATCACAGAATTGACTCGTGCTGAGAAGGTTGAACTTCAACCATTCTACATATGAAACATCTCTGATTGTCAGTCTGTTACTTTAGACATCACCTACTCCCTTAGTCTATCCACTTGTCTCACCACCAAATACCACTCTAGTACCATTGACTTCTCGGTAGTTGCTTAGATTTGATCTATCACCATACCAGTCATATGTCTCGAGCAACTGCTATCAACGTACCATATGGGCTTGTTAACCTGAAATCAAAGATCAGTTAACTTTAGGTACCATACCTTATTGGGTCCTTCTTGGTTAGTGAGCTTGGGCATCTACTTGAACCTAGAGCTCGTCAATCCCATTCTCGGTCCACTATAGCCGTTAAAAACATTGTAATCGTACGAGGTGTTTTAAAATTTTTGGGGATTTTTAGGTGTATATTGTTTTTGAAATCGGGGTCTAGGCATGTTGCTATGCACCCTAGAATAGAGCTTTTGCCTATATCTATGAAATCGTTCGATTTGCGCTTTCGACATTGGTTCATAGACCATAAGCCAGTCCTCATTGGAAGGAAATAATCTTCCGGCACCTCTCATTAATCTTCTAGTAAATCTCTGAGGCTTCGCATAATCACATACCTATTATTCTAACCATTCAGGTAATGTTTGGGTTTACCCTTCGGATGACCATGGGGTCTCCTTCGTGAATGGTTCGACCTCTGGTTGTTTTTGGGTTTACTCCTCGGGTGGTTACCCTTCGTTGGCTGACCCCTCGTGGATTGACCACCCAGTCCTTTGTCACTAGGTTTGTTCCGATTCATGTGCTGGACACTCCTTGGGCTACCATTAGAAGGATTTCCTTTCGAGGGCTCCACAACTCGCTGAATAGTTTTCCTTTTGGTTGGCTACTTGATTGTGGTATCTTACCCTTATAAACAACCTTCACAGGTTCAGGCTGCAATGTCTGACCATGAACAAACACATTTTTAGACCTCCACTAGTTGAAGGGTCTGTGAGTTTGGTTAGTAGAACTTGTGAGGGAGAGCTGGGTTGTAGCTAAGTCCGGCTTTATTCCAGTTGGTCATTGCTCACCCACCATTTGATCTATTATTTTGGATGAATTGGTGAAGGTAGCTATGACCTCACGTGAATTATGCTCTCGCACTTCCCTTGCTTTGCACTCTTCCTTTAGTAAGAGAACTTGTTTATCAGACAGGCTAACTTTGCTCAACATCTCGATATTCTTGAGCATAATGCTCTTGAGATTTTCACGTTCAGCCAATAGCTCAAAATTCTCTTCTTTAAGCTTGGCATGAGTGCTATTGACTAGCTTGAAGTCCTTCATCAGCTTAAGAACTGAATCCATAGGATCTCCATCGCAACTCGAATCAGATTCACATTGAGTAGAAAAATGAGGATAGAGAATTTACCTCCTCGTTTTTTGCCATTAAGCACAGATCTTCATCCGAGTTGTTCTGGCTGTAGAGGTAGATGTGTCCCTTCTCATCGCCTGAGCTCTTGCTTTTTGAGCTCGAACTGGAGGTGCACTGCTCTGGTATCGCATTCTCGGCTATCTCTTTGGTTATCAATGCTTTCCTTCTTCTGTCACCCTTCGAGTGATTACCCGAGTGGTTGGCGCTTCGACCACTCATTTCTCCTAGAGCATTCCTTGAGTTGCTTTGATTTCTAGAGCTCCACTATTGATCCTGGTTCTTTAGGACCACCTGGTACTAGCATTCCGCCTTGAAGTGCGCTGGTTTCCTGCAGTTTTAACATAACATTTAAAACTACTCGAAATCTCGAGTCCTCGAGGTATTTGACCTCTCGGTGTGTCTCTGGTTGGATGAACTTGGAGTAGCTAGAGAGTCTTGAGGATTGTTCTTCCTCATGAACATTTTAAATTTCCTGACAAACATGGCAAACTGCGTGTCAGTTAAAAGATCAGCAGGGTTAGAATTTGACCTGGATGATGTGGATGGTTGTTGATTAGCAACCAATGCCACACTTCTCGTCTCGTGCTCTTCGTCCTGTTTCGGTTCTCGTTCAAACTCGTACGCCTTCAAATCGCTGAATATTTTAGACGTCTGGATGGCTTTGAGGTCTCGGTGGTCTCACATTGCGACGACCTTCAACTCCCACGACTTGGGCAGACCTCAGAGGATCTTGAGGTTGATCTCCTTCTGACTGAGCTCCTTTTCGAGATCAGCTACCTCACTAAGCAGCTTCATGAACCGTCGATTGCTCCCACCTTGAAGTCATTGAACTTCTTCATTGGGATGGTGAGCTTGTTCTCTTTCTCCTACTCGTCGCCCTCGCTAATTTTCATCTGCACTTCCAAAATGTCCTTCGTGGTTTTACATTTTTCGAATCCTAGGAAATAAAATCTCGTCCACAGTTTTAAACAGTATGTCCTTGGCAATGTTGTCAAGGTTATTTCGGGTGCGGTCTTCTGGTGACCATTGATGCCTCGGCTTTGGGACATATTCCAGTGCATCTGGCCCTTGTGCCGCTCAGTTGGCATTGACCACAATAATGCTCACTGGACCTTGTGTAATTACCTCCCACATCTCATCATGTAGGGTTGATAGATGCACCTGCATGTGCATTTTCCAATCATCAAATTTTGAAAGATTAAGCATTAAATTCTTAGACAAATGATGATCATATTTTTGAGAAAAATGCGTGCAAAGAGAAAATAGATTTGAGATTTTGAACTGAGATCTCCAAGCAGTATACACAGAGTGTTTACCGATCAAGGTAACTACTCTGATATCACTTGTTGGTCCCGATAAGGGTTGGGAGTGAGTCTAGGGGGGGGGGGGGGGAATAGACTCATTGGATTTTAAAAAATCTTCTCAAATGCTAAGTCTACTCGAGGGGTAAGCTTAACAAAACGTTCAGAGTTTAATGCGCTTGCGAAAGCAAATAGTTTTTTTTTTACCCTTTTTAACTTTCTTTGCATGTTAAGATTGCTTAGTAAAATGTTAAGTTTGATCGTGGATAATATACAAATAAAGGACCTTAATTTGAAAAGGACGAAAATATCTTTAATAATTTCATATTTGAGTAAATACTGACGGAGGTCCTCCGACTTTGGTTGCACTGCCAATTTTAGTCCTCAACTTTTAAATCAACCACTTATAGTCCTCTTACTTTTTGTTTCTAGCCATCTATGGTCCTTTCGTTAAACTTGACCATCTAATGCTGTTTTCTAAAAGATAATTCAGTCATTTCATAATTAATTTATTAATTATTATGTTTAATTTCTGCAACAGAATAGTCAAACAATGGTTTCCCCAGCTATGAACGTGTACAAAACCAGCTCGTGAATCAAAATGGCGTACAAAAGCTGGTATGAAGGTTGTGCCAAAACGACGTCGGGATATCTCGGTATGACTCAACAAACATAATAATTAATAAATTAATTATGAAAGGACTGAATTATCCTTGAGAAAACGGCATTAGATGGTCAAGTTTAACGGAAGGACCATAGATGGCTAGAAACAAAAAGTAAGAGGACTAAGAGTGATTGATTTAAAAGTTGAGGACTAAAAGTGACAGTGTCACCAAAGTCAGAGGACCTCCGCTGGTATTTACTCTTTCATATTTCGGCATGTCTTAAACGAAGGGGTGACCGGTGTAATGAATTTTAGCGTTAAAAGAATAATGGTGGATGAAAATTAATACTAAAACAATAGTTGTGAATGAAAATTGGCAGGAATTAAACCTATGTATCAAAATTGTCATTTTGCTAATTTGGGACCAAAATGGTTTTTTTTTTTTTTTTAGACATTCTGCTTCAGTCCTTCAGGCGTTGTGCACTTCTACGCTCCGCCTTCTGCCCCTCCACACCATACCTTCACCTTCTCGACTTCTCGTTGACTCCTTTACTCGTTCAGCAAGCCGGCAACGCCAACACTCCCGCAGCCTTGCGCCTCAGCAGCGACTGCTGCCCGTTGCCCCGTTGTCAGCACTCAGCAGACAGCGATTCGTCGTCAGTGGCCGGTGCCCGGTGCCCGTCGTCTACTCGTCCGGAAAGCGGCAGTAGGTCCGAAATCCTATTTCTAAATCCCCTAATTCTAATAATATAATGCCCTAAATCCGTAATTCTTAAATCCCTTAACTCTAATAATATTCTATCATTTCTATGAAGCATTGTCTGCGTTGTTGAATTGTTGCTGCAACTATTCTATTTTGATGCTTTGAGGGAGTAGTATATATTATATATAAGCCACGAAATAAAAAATAAATAGAGAATGGAGAAAGGATTACCATTTGGTCTGATCTTATTTTTCTGTTGAATGTATTCCGTAGCACACTAACAAGAAATTCTTATTCAGAGCAGTTATGGGAGTATGGGATTGTATTATGAGATTTTTAAAATTAATGTGTCACAACCCTGAGATTTGAACAAGAAAAACAGAAGCAGAGATAGAGAAAAAGAAGAAGAAGTAGGTAGAGAAGAGAAGAAGAAATAGGTCTAGGAAAAGAGGAAAGGAAACTAAGTTTTCTGATTTCAATTTCACAAAAAGCATAAGATTTCTGAAAAAATAAACAACCCAATAAATAGGATAAGATAATCTAATAAAACAAAAAGTTTCTAACAAACTTCCGGATTCCTTGCTGCCAGCTTTCCCTAGCCCTTGATCAAAACGCGGTCGTCTGGTGCACAGCCGTTACCCTCCTTCGAAACGGTGTCGTTCCACTTAATGCCCAACGGCTCTCACCTTCCCCCTTCATGCGACGTCGTTTACCTGCTGAGGGTTAGTAAAACAGTTTTGTTCCTTTCCCTCTTTAGCTCCTGAGATGTATGCACTTCCACCATCCCTTTTTCTTCTGGTATTACTAACCGGGGTGTGACATAATGTGAGAGATTTATTCATAATAGGTTAATTGTTTAATTGTGATTAAGAATTGTGAATTGTGAACATTGCATTTTTTAATGAAACAATCTTAGAGCAATCTCATAATATGAGAGAATGTAGAGGACTTTTATCACAGTTTGCCATGAATATGAATATTGTATTTTGTATTCGAATCGTTTTATCTAGCTAATGGTATTTCATATTTTGTCTTAAATATTTTTTTTATTATCATGTTTTGAATTGTTTTACTTTTTCCCCCACTCAATTGTAATCCTAGCTCTGGCACTGCAACAAACCTTTCTTCCAATCCAGAAATCCCATTAATCACCTCGTTGAAAGCCTTATTAGTTTTCTTGCATTCATGGCCTTAACTTTGGAGCATGATATTTTGGTTTATTTCAAATTGTCATTCACCTCAAACCTGTTTGATGAAATGCTTGTGTCATGCTAGGAATTTGAATCACTGCATTTTTGTCCTCTGTATGCACAACTTAATCTTTACATTAACTCTCTTCATCTTTTTTTCTTCTTTTTGTTTAATATCTTGATCTATCATTCTTGTTTCTTTGTGTATTTGCTAACTCAAATATCCCATAACAACTGAAACAATAATGTGTATAATTGCCCTTAGGAGTTAGGACTGATACTCTTGTTACCGTATTGGATTTTTAGATTAATCTTCATTCAAGGTTTTACTTTGGGATATGCAGTATTTGATGCATGAGGTCATTTAGTTCTGATTGGTCTTGTAGAATTAAGGTGCACCATGGCATTGAGGCAATTGTGTGGATTTTCTGATGGGGAGGTGATGAGATCAGATTGTAAGACTTGTTCCAGATTGACGAGACAGACTGCTGCAATATTCTCAGTTGGAGGAGCATTAGGCTTTTGGGTGCTGTGCCGCTTGCACTACGGTCTGTTTTTGACTCATTTTTTTCCCCATGAAATCCAACTGTTTTATTTTTAGTTACTGATGTAATTATTACAACATTTATGTTTATTTTCTGGAATCTCCTTTCAGTGTCTCATCTTCTTATTTTGGATCATAAAGATATGGAGTATTGTATCAGTTTGACCTTTAAATGCAAAATTTGGAAGAGAAAGAAAACATGCCTTAAAATAATATATTTTTCTATGATTTCTTTACTTTTGTCTAAAGGACTGAATGAGTAGAAATTCTCTAACATTCTTGCATTCTTGTGTCATAAAATAAGCCTGTTGTACTTGTAATATATATATATATATATATATATATATATATATATATATATATATATATATATATTCTCTACGGTGGCCTTCATTATTACCTAGCTCACAAGCTGTAATTTTTTCCTTTGGATAAAGTAATAGTCCAGCTGCATTTATTTGGCACTTCACCTCCCCAGTCCCCAAACCTAGAAAATAAAACACATTAGTGTTCATACTTCCCCAATATATCGAGTTTTTGTGGTACCTTATGCTTCTTTGCTGCTTTTGCGTACTTGCTTGGGATTCATTTCACCATTATAATGCATACTTATATCCTTGAATTGTAGTTCATAGTGTTCATGGTAATGCAGGCCCTAGAATCACAAATCCTCGAAGTTTTAGGTGGGGAGCTTGTGGAGCAGTCTCTACAAGCTCTACCACCGCATTGCTGGTTCGCCTGTTTAGTCCAGAATGTGAACCTCAAAATATAGCTGCTTATGACAAAAAAGGATAGTGCTGCCTATTCACAAGCTTTGACTATCCTATGATGGCAATTGGGGTCTTGCACTTGGAGTTATGGAGCTTGTATTGCTGCCTTTGAATAATATGAGATAGATAATAGCTTTGTTACTGACTGCTGATAATGTATTTGTTCATGACTTCATGCACTACTTCAATGTTATTCTACTTCATTCAATTTCCTTTTAAATCCATAAGAACGTGAATTTCCCAAAAATGTTAGGCCTACGCTGCAGTGCTTGAGCTCCAGCATCTTATATTGTGTGGAAAGTTCTAGCATCAAAATATGTATACTTTTTCTTGTGAAATATGTGCTGGGTCATGGCTGCAGGGAAGCAAGCGATGGCCATATATCGGTCAGGAGGTGAGTTTAAAACTGATAAGGATGCTCTACTCTTGTATAAAGGTGGAGATGCATGCTCAATATTGCTCATGCTATGGAAATTGACAACCAAATGAATTATGAAGATTTCAAGATGGAGGAAGCCGAGATGTTTAACCCCTCCTCCAACACTTGTCCATCAGGTCAGCCTACAACTGAAAAGTTAGGTCTAGATGAGACCCTGAGGCAACAACTTCAATGCTGTAGATGCAAAGGTACTGGCCACAACAAGTGAACTTGCAAAGTAGTTCTGGTGAGCTAGGTGTATAGGTATTTAGTTGCTTAGTCTGTTTTAAGATGTGTGAACTGTCTGCATCTATCTTTTTGCATATCCCTTCTAGCAATAATACAACTATACAAGAGGCCATTATGGCTCTAAAGATTACTGAAATTCACAGGCTGCCTTGCTTAACACTTGGCACTTTTGTTATTTTCAAATTGTGTGCCTTTTTGGCACTGTGACTGTTAGCCAGGCTGCTGACCTACAGCCAAATGTTGGTTGAATACTTGCTGATTATGTTTTCCATTTTTTTTTTTGAACTTTTCCATGCATCATGCGTTTGTATGATGAGTTGACAAGCATCTACATCCCTACATGTTTCTTACTTTAAAAGGAAAATGCCATTCAGTTCTTGTAGGCTTTTAGACTCATCAATTTGCTCTGTATGCAAAAACAGGTAAAATGAAGTGCACACTCTTCATTTCGCACTCTCTTATCATGCTTTGGCTAGGCGTTTGCATTTGCTTTTAACTTGCTATGCCATTATTAGCTGTTGGGCAGTTGGTTTAGGCATCACCTTGATATATTTGGTATTTTTGCTTGCATCATTTAGTGTTTTGGTCTCTAAATATACTTTACAATGATGATGACTTAAATTTTTTGGTGTATAGGCTATGAGTACTTGCATGTTATGGTGTTCAGCTTCCTAATTTCTGTTCTTAATGCTCTCTTTTCTTGGCCAGGACATTGGACTAATCAACATGCTTTGTTTCCTACTTCACTTGGAGCAAAGGTTCTTGTCATTCTTTACACAAATATATCGACTTCCAATCTACATTCCCCCTTTTTTGTGCTGATAATAGTGATATAAGATGCTTATATACATTTGCCTCAAGTATAGTCTGGACCAACCATTACTAGGGCTGTGCAAAAACCGAGAAATCCGAGAAACCTAACCGAACCGCCATCGGCCGTTGGTTGTAAATACCAACATTTTGTTGTAAACCGACCATTAATGGTCCATTACATTTTGTTGTAAATACCAGTTTTTTTTGCATTCCAGTTCTGTCCTCAAGTGTGCAGATGGTTTGTTAGCCCCTGCAGCCTATTTATGCCTTTAGCTCTGCTTATTATGCAACAAATAAGACCATTATGCATGCTAACTTTAAGCAGAAAGTAGTACATTTGGTTTTCAAGCCTCTTTGTCCTGTGAACTGTACTTCTTCAGTACACAGAAAATCAGCAATTAAGGGAGACATTTATATTTTGGTACAAAGAGGTATAGGTCTCAAATTTCAATACCATTCCCTCCCACCTAGACCAACTTTAAAGAAAAAAAATTGCCTGATTTTTAATGATGCCCTTAACTACGAATTTGTTAGAATCAAGCGTCTATCACTACGTCAAAAGCACTATGATGTCACTTGTTAAGATCACATGATTATCAGTTTATCACTATGTCAAAAGTTATAGTTCACTGCGAAAGCACAATTTTATTTCTTTATAGACTGCCACATTTTCGAGAGGTAGGGTGTTAACTGTTAAGCTCTACCCAACAATTCTCTAGCCACCAATTGTTGGACTTGACCCTTTACCGACTTTGGCCCAATAATTTCTCCGCCTAGATTTGTCTCTAATATCATTTATTAAGATCAAGTATTTATCAATATGTCAAAATGTATTGCTCGTAGCAAAGACATGGATTTATTTTCTTTATGTAGCCATATTTTCGAGAGGTCCGATCTTAGTCAAACAATTCCCTAGTCATCAATTGTTGAACTTGGCCATTCAAAGGCTTCTGCCCAATAAAATATGTTACTCCGTATTAAATTAGTTGGATAATTATAGTAGTATTAAATACAATGTGGTTTGCATTGAATGTGGGAACAGTGGCACACTCAATTCGTACAATTGTACTACAACTATGCAATAGGCGATATGCAGTACAGATGTACAGTAGTTGGTGAATCAAAGTAGGAGAGAATTTTGGTACTACCATTTCAATTTGTACTGCTATTCTATCAGACCCTCCAATCATTTGTATTTTTTGGGATATTTTCGCAGCTTAGTTTTTATGTCCATGTAGAATTGATGCGAAATAAAATGAAGTTGTTATTATCATTTCTCCATCCATTAAAATTGTGGGCAACACAATTTATTGACCCACAGTCGACTTCCAAGAGATTTATTATGTTTCCTCGCTCTTCTGGTTTAAGCAAGCAGGCCTGGGGTGTTTTGGTTCACGATTCTATTACATTGTAGTATCTGTTCAAACATACTTTCTTAACTTATTGAAGCACACAGAGTCAACAACGTTTCCATCGATCTCATGATTTCTACATGAGAGAAGTCACTACATGCCATCTGAGCAGAAAATGTTTGACTTCTGCATCGGATTATGAGATGCCATTTTGCAAGTGAGGTAAAAGTTGTTGTAAAGGCGTGGTGGAGAGGGTAGACGGGGACGAGGCGGAGCATGAGATGGGCACTTCAACTTTCGGGGTTAAGTTGTTGTCCTTTCCATGCACTGCCTCTTCCCTGGCTCTCCTTTCCTCCATTATTTTTCCTCTCTATGTTCATTCATATGCATCGCCTTCTATTATATTATTATTAGAGTAACTTTCTTGTGAGTCTGTCTCAAACGGGTTAGGTCAAACTGTTAAGATAAAAATAAAATGTAATACTTATATTGAAAGACATGATATTAATTACTTTTTTTTGGAATACTACTAACTCTGTTACAATATAGTATCTATTTATAGGTAAATGCTTAAACTCACAATATCTCATATGAAAGAGCAACTTGGTGCTATTAGATCACAAGGTATGTTGTTGAATTTATATTACCGTCTTATACATACTGTATTATTTTTTTTTTTTTTGGAAAACAACTGTATTATTATATTATATGTGATTTTATCTGTTTATTTTGCATTAGCGTGAGTTTTTGTCCGTTCATTCTTGGTTAATAAATACAATTGAGTAACTATATTAATAAGGATCTTTTTTGAAATGCTTTTGCATTTCATGCTTATTTCTTTTAAAAACGATAAAATGAGTATTGTTGGCATATTAATTGAATTGAGAAAAGAAGGAAAATGACATGTGACAACATAGTCCATATGTTTTTTTTTTTAATAGTAAAAAGATATTGTAGCAAAATGTATTTAGGAACATACAACAGAGGCCTTTGCCATAAAGGAATCTCTTTTTTTGGATGCTTGATGGTGGTTTGAGGAATTAGATTGTGTCAATGTTTGTCAGCTGTTGAACAAGCCGATTTATCTTATGCGGGTTGGACTCTATTACATTGTAGTATATGTTCAAACATATTTTATCAACCTAATGAAGTACATAGAGTTAACAACGCCTTTATTGAGACTTGATCTCATGACCTCTCACATGGGAAAGATCACTACATGCCATCTGAGCCTACCGTTCAAACTTCAAACCGAAACTGGAATCAGAATAAATGCGAATTGGAACCGAACAGATTTATAAACACCGTTTGTAAATGATAAACTTGATCAGTTTCGGTTCATATTTATTCTGATTCCAGTTTAAAAATTTTATTTATTTGTTTTTGTAAATTTTATTTTCTATTTTAAAATAGTCTGTTTTATTTTTTTACGGTTTTGAATCGTAACAAAAATTATCCCTACTATTTCAATTCAGTTGCTATAGTATATGGTTTGGTTCAAATCGAAACGTAGTCATCCTACATATAAACAATAATTTGTTGGAGAATAAAAAATAAATGAAATAATTATTTTAAGGGTAAAAATGTCTATGTTCAAAAACTTTTGGTGGTGATTGTGCGAGGCATTCTACTCTCATCCTCCAAATGATTTCCACGGAATCATCTTCCTCTACTTCATTCTCCATTTTCCAGATTCTCTTACCTTTAAGCATTTCAACTCAAAGTTTTTCGATTAATCCAGCTATAGCAAACACGACAACTCTCAACCTGAATATGATAACTCAAAAAGGTCATTCTTTCATCCTCCTCATTTTCTTGTATGAAACAATAGTGTAGAAATATCCTAGATCTCTTGCGTAACAGATGTTAAGAATTTTTGTACAGTTTAAGGAAACTTCTCATCTACTATTAAATATTGTGTATTTTATTCTTGTGTGAATTTCCGTGTTTAAATACTTGAACCGAATCCGTATTGGCTTCCTTGTTGTGTTGAGTTTTAATATTATGATGTTTTTTTAAGGGGGATCATAATCATAAGTCATGAAACCGATGACGAAAGCCACTAGAGAGTAGCCAGATCGAAATGTTGAAGTAGACAAAAGATCAGTTGCTAAGATTATGGTAGACAATGATGAGCCTCTAAACATATGACATTGGAATATTCTTCGACAAGAGCTGAAAATGGCTAAAGTTAACTCCTTTTCTCCACAACGTTCACTTCTCATCCATACCAATTTGAATCATGGTATTTGAATATAATTTGATATAGTTGAATGTTAGACATGTATGCCCTAGGAGCCAACATTTATTGTTTTGGGCATTTATTTTTGATTAAATAAATATAATAAATAAATGTTTTTATTTATTTTATTTTGACTCAATGATTCAATTAATATTTGATATTATTCTGTACAATCTTCTTAATTCTTCATTTTTAAGAGTTAAGAATATGAGTGACAAAGAATTAATAAATGAAGTATTGTAAAAAAGTTCCTAGTCATTGGATATCCCATACCATTTCATACGAGATACAGAAAGTGGACATGTGGATGATTGTTAGAGAATAAGTCATTGAACAATGACTGACTACAACGTAATCCCATGATTTTTACCAACGTGTCATCGATGTGTTGTGTGTTACAAGTATGCAATACTCCTTTGACTTGAGACGCTATGGTTGTCTCGTACATATGGTGGACTAGTGTTTGTCAGTATACGTTTTTGTTCCCTTAGCTTATGGAGCTATAAGTGTACTTTCAGTATTGTAGGGAGACATGTGTGCGATCAATAAAGGATCCACTACACCCCCTTGAGGTAATAAGGTTGTTATAGTCTATTCAATAATCTTACAATAAGAATTTCTGACCAGAGTATAATGAAGGTTGACTTTAGGTTAAGAATATTGAATAGGCATATTAAACCAAGTTTATGGGTTTGACCAAGACCTTTACATGGTTTGGAACAATTGTTGTGTGGAAAGAATGTTGCATGATATTTGTAACAGAAAGGTTCATTATAATATATATAATTATGTTTCATTGTCAACTAGGTAGTCATGATATATTGCTAGGAGCAGTGGCGGAGCCACAATGAGGACAGTGGGGGCAGCTGCCCCCCCCCCCCCCTCCCCCCTCCTCAACCCTTTCTACTAATATATAAGTACATGTATAAGTCATAAAAGTGTTTAGTAAATCAGTGGGTTGAAACTTGAATATGACATGGAGTGTCACAAGTTCAAAACCCACTTATAGTATTTTTATATGTTTTAGCTTCTTTATCTTTATTTTAGCTCTTCCCATCCCTCAATAATTTAAATGTATTTTTTTTAATTCTACTTTTATTGCATGTATATTTTAGCTTCTTTTCTTTATTTTAGCTCTTCTCACAATTCAATACATTAAAAAAATTTTAAGTCTACTTTTTTTTTTTTTTTTGTGAATCATTTACTTAATGTAGTCAACAAGTTTATATTATACTTCATCGTATTCAAATTAATTTAGAATAATTTAAAGTTGATCTAATTAAAAGAAAATTAAAATCAAAGTATTTATGAATATAATGTCTTTTCTATTCAAACTATTTTATCTAATCGATTATGTTTTATATTTTGTCATAAATATTTTTATAACATATCAAAGTGTTTTAAAATTTCACCCTATCCAAGTAAAGTTTTGGCTCCGCCCTTGACTATCTTGTAGTCTATCATAAATATTGTATTATTATAATTTATAGGAATAAGAGTCAAATAGGCCACCGAACTGCACACCAAAGTGCAATTAGGCCATCGAATTCAAAAACAATGCAATTGGGTGTTTGAACAACACAAAATCATGCAATTAGGTCTACAATGATCTGTTGATCTAAAATTGTGCTGACGTGGCGGTTACCAATTTTAAAAATAAATTTTAAATCAAATAATTAATTTTTTTTTAAAAAAAAAAACTAGAACTGCCGGAGACGAATCGTCTCCGGCAGTTCTAGTTTTTTTTTTTTAATTATTTTATTTAAAAATTATTTTTAAAATTGGTAACCGGCATTTTAGGTAAACAAGCCATTTTGGACCTAATTGCATGATTTTGTGTTGTTCAAGGATCCAATTGCATTCTTTTTAAGTTCGATGGCCTAATTGCACTTTGGTGTGCAGTTCAGTGGCCTATTTGACCCTTATTGCTAATTTATAATGTATTTGAACCATATTATAGATGTTTGATATTTTGTCATTGAAAATTCTAAATTCGTGGCGAATTCTTCACACAAAATTGTGGAAGATGCAATTTTTTCTTCGAAGTGAGATCTCGAGTTAAGCACGCCCCGCCGCACATTATTTTCTGGATCCGCCATTGGCTAGGAGTCACTCATGACTTACGAGTTATTTAATAATGAGTTATTAATGTTGGAAAAAATAGCTTAAAATGGCATAAAAAGGCATGCTAAATGGCTATTTTGTGGTACAATTATCAGTGGGGTCCAATTCCGATTTGGGTCGGGTCAAAGTGGATTCGGATTCTTCGTAGTGAGACGAAGAGATTGATATATTGTACGCTCAAAACTGATAATGGGTGAATGAGATATTGATTCTCAAAGTAGACCCATTTGAGTTGGAAAATGAAGGGAAAAAGTGAGCTTTTGTCCCACATTGGGTTGGAAAGAGGATTTGCCCCCCTTATATACAAGAGCTCTTTTCAAGCTTGTAGAATTGTATAGCATAGAGGCTCTCTCGCGCGGGGGGGTGGTGCAAATTAAATTCCAGCACCTGGCGGCACGAATGTCGTCCGGAAATAACTTGAAAGTGACCCTGTGGCCATCATGGCCGAAACTAAATAACTTTCAGTTTCGTCCTACACGAACCTGTGCAGTTGTGACCGTTGGGTGTTCAATTCTTTGAATTAATTCCAATCTTTATTTTTGAATTGAAACCCATGGTAATGGCTGCTGTTACCAGGTGTAGTGGGGGGGGGGGTGCCTTAAAGTGCCTTATTAAGAGCTATTTAATCCTTCAACCTTATATAAGAGAGGGTAGAGGCAGCAGAATTTTTACACACAAAATTACACAACACGAAAGTATAATTTCCAGCTTCAACTCTGCTTCTACTCTTTCTTTGCCTACTGTGTTCATAGCCTTGTCTTGCTCGCCGGATTCTTTGTTTGAATGCTCAAACATTGAATCATAGCAAGTTTTATCCTGGGAAGCCTAGGCCACAACGCTCCTAGCATCTTTGGGAGGTGGCAAATAAGGTTTTAAGGAAAGAATGATCACTTGACTCTTGCAAAAACCCAACACCAAACACTAGCCAAATTTCTCCACCTTTTCTTCCCTTCTTTCCAGAAAATAATAGTCATATTTTATTTGATTATTATTTGTTTTTCTACCAACGGCTCCAACAGTCTTAAAACCTTATTCCTTGTTTTCTCGTTGGTTGTTTTCTCTAATTTCCTTGAAGAAATGGAGAACCCCGAGTTGCCTATCGTTAACAATGGGGAAGAAAATGTTGTTGAGAACAACAATGGAGGAAACGGCAACAATGTTGTTAGGGAGGTGGCAAATAAGGTTTTAAGGAAAGAATGATCACTTGACTCTTACAAAAACCCAACACCAAACACTAGCCAAATTTCTCCACCTTTTCTTCCCTTCTTTCCAGAAAATAATAGTCATATTTTATTTGATTATTATTTGTTTTTCTACCAACGGCTCCAACAGTCTTAAAACCTTATTCCTTGTTTTCTCGTTGGTTGTTTTCTCTAATTTCCTTGAAGAAATGGAGAACCCCGAGTTGCCTATCGTTAACAATGGGGAAGAAAATGTTGTTGAGAACAACAATGGAGGAAACGGCAACAATGTTGTTAGGGAGGTGGCAAATAAGGTTTTAAGGAAAGAATGATCACTTGACTCTTGCAAAAACCCAACACCAAACACTAGCCAAATTTCTCCACCTTTTCTTCCCTTCTTTCCAGAAAATAATAGTCATATTTTATTTGATTATTATTTGTTTTTCTACCAACGGCTCCAACAGTCTTAAAACCTTATTCCTTGTTTTCTCGTTGGTTGTTTTCTCTAATTTCCTTGAAGAAATGGAGAACCCCGAGTTGCCTATCGTTAACAATGGGGAAGAAAATGTTGTTGAGAACAACAATGGAGGAAACGGCAACAATGTTGTTAATTCCCAAGCTACACCAGTGAACGTTGGTTCACAAGATGGTGGTAGCACTGAGGGATATATTCCCATGTCTCGGGTACCTTCCGTACCGAGTGGTTTGGCTGAAAAGCCGGAGAAGTTCACCGGTGTTGGTTCGAACTTCAAGAGGTGGCAACAAAAGATGTTGTTCTACCTAGCAACTCTCGGCTTGCCAAGGTTCTTGTCCGAGAGTGTTCCCGAGTTGAAGGAACAAGATGCACAATCCGTGATGGCAGTTGGCTATTGGAAGGATTCGGACTTCCTTTGCCGAAACTACATCCTGAATGGATTGTGTGACACGCTATACGATGTATATCGAAAGATAAGCACATCAAAAGCGTTGTGGGAAGCTTTGGATCATAAATACCGAAGTGAGGATGCCGACTCAAAGAAATTTGTGGTTGGCCGATTCCTCGACTTCAAAATGGTTGATTCAAAGACCGTGCTAAGTCAGGTAGAAGATTTGCAATTAATCTTCGATGAGATCCGTGACGAGGGCATGGTGCTAAGTGAAGCCTTCCAAGTGGGATCTGTGATCCATTTGTTGCCTCCAGGTTGGAAGGACTTCAAGAACTATCTTAAGCATAAGCGAAAGGAAATGAATCTGGAGGACCTGATCCAGCGACTCAGGATTGAGGAGGGGAACAGGACGAATGATAGGAAAGTTCCTATCGTTGTTGGCGCTAAGGCCAACGTTGTGGAGCACGGTAAGAGCTCCAAGAGGAACCAGAAGGACAAGCGAAAGCTAGGTCCGAAAGGTGGCGTTACATACCAAGAACAAGTTTCCTGGTGAATGCTACAATTGTGGCAAGCATGGCCACAGAGCATCTGAATGCAAGGCTCCAAGGAAGAAGAACAAGAGTTCTGAAGCCAATGTTGTTGGAGATAGCAGTCAGAAGGAGGTCGAGATTAGCCTTTCGGCTATGGTGACCGAGGTGAACCTCGTGGGCTCAAACCCTCGTGAGTGGTTCATCGATACCGGTGCAACCAGGCACTTGTGTTGCAACCGAGAGATGTTCAACACCTTTGAGACCGTTGAGGGTGAAAAGGTGTGGATGGGAAACTCTGCTCAGTCTGCTGTGGAAGGCATGGGCAAGGTGGTTCTGAAGATGACTTCCGGGAAGGAACTGACGTTGAACAACGTGCTATATGTTCCGGAGCTGAGGAAGAATCTTGTGTCTGGCTCACTGTTGAACAAGCATGGCTTTTGCATGGTGTTCGAGTCAGACAAAGTAGTTTTATCCAATTTAGGGATGTTTGTTGGTAAAGGATATGTAACTGATGGGCCTTTTAAGCTCAGTGTAATTCCTGTTATCAATAAAAGCAAAGTTAATTCTGTTTACTTGCTTGAGTCTTCCAATTTGTGACATGGTAGACTAGGTCATGTTAATTTTAATTCTATGCGTAGATTAATTAGCACAAATAACGAAAGTACCTTTCAAATCGGTTGAAAGGGAAACTGAACCACTAGAATTAATCCATAGTGATTTGTGCGATTTTAGATCGATACAAACGAGAGGTGGTAATAAGTATTTTATCACATTTATCGACGATAGCACACGATACTGCTATGTGTATTTGCTTAAGAGCAAAGATGAAGCCATTGATAAATTCGTTCTTTATAAGAATGAAGTGGAAAACCAACTTAATCGAAGAATTAAGAAGGTTAGAAGCGATCGAGGTGGTGAGTACGAAGCACCTATTGGTGACTTCTGTGCGAGTGTAGGTATAATACACGAGTGTACTGCACCTTACTCACCTCAATCGAACGGTGTTGCCGAACGAAAGAATCGTACATTGAAAGATATGATGAATGCGATGCTTATAAGTTCGGGCCTACCTCAAGATGCTTGGGGTGAGGCGATTTTGACGAGTAATTACCTTTTGAACAAGGCACCCCGCAAGAAGCTCGATAAGACTCCTTATGAGCTGTGGAACGGTAGGAAACCTTCCTACCAGTACCTGAAAGTGTGGGGCTGTCTTGCCAAAGTATTGGTGCCAACACCTAAGAAAGTAAAGATAGGTCCTAAGACGGTGGACTGTATCTTTATTGGCTATGCACATAATAGTAGTGCTTATCGGTTCTTAGTACACGAGTCTCATAATCCGGACGTACATGAGAACAAGATAATAGAATCAAGGAATGCATATTTCTTCGAGAATATATTTCCTTGTAGGTCCAACGAGGGACCAAGTACGTCAAAACGAACGTTTGACGAAACTATGGACAATGATAGTGGGGAATCTGATAAAGAACCCGAGCTCGAGCCGAGACGCAGCAAGCGGGCGAGAGTTGGAAAATCATTCGGTCCTGATTTTCTAACTTACTTGTTAGAGTACGATTCGGGTACTCTAACTTGTTTATTAGAAAACGAACCCGACTTTCTATCTTGTTTGATAGAAAACGAGCCTCGAACGTATGTAGAAGCCGTGACTTCTACAGAAGGACCAATGTGGAAAGAGGCTATAAAAAGTGAAGTGGATTCTATCTTACAGAATCACACTTGGGAACTTGTTGATCTTCCTACGGGTAGTAAACCCTTAGGATCCAAGTGGGTCTTTAAAAGGAAGATGAAACCTGACGGTTCCATCAAGAAGTATAAGGCTAGGCTTGTAATCAAGGGTTACAAGCAACGCGAGGGCCTCGATTACTTCGACACGTATTCTCCCGTTGTGGGGATAAACTCCATTAGGATGATTCTTGCCATAGCGGCGTTGCGGAACTTGGAAGTTCATCAAATGGATGTGAAAACCGCTTTCCTAAATGGCGAATTAGATGAGGAAATCTATATGGAACAACCCGAAGGGTTCGTGGTTACGGGCCAAGAAAGGAAAGTGTGTAAGTTGGTTAAATCGCTCTATAGTTTAAAACAAGCGCCTAAGCAGTAGCGCGAGAAGTTTGGCCATGCGATGTTAACTAACGGGTTTAAAATAAACGAAAGTGACAAATGTGTCTACGTTAAGGAAACAATAGACGGCTACGTCATTCTTTGTTTATATGTCGATGATATTCTCATCGTTGGCAGTAAGGATCGGATGATCAAGTCTTCCAAAAACATGTTAAATGCGAGATTTGACATGAAGGATATGGGTTTGGCTGATTTAATCCTCGGGATTAAAATCATTAGAAGACCTGATGGTCTCGTGTTGAGCCAATCCCATTATATTGACAAAATCCTTGAGAAATTTAACAAGGATGATGGTCAAATGGCTAGAACACCGTTTGATACAAACATTCATTTAACCAAGAATCACGGAGAAGGTATTTCACAAGTGGAATATGCTCGGTTTATTGGTAGTTTGATGTATCTTATGAGCTGTACTAGGCCGGATATTGCCTTTGCGGTTAGTAAACTCAGTAGATATACGAGTAACCCCGGTGCTATGCACTGGAAGGCAATAGTAAAGGTTATGAGATACTTGAGGTATACTCGTGATCTTGGACTGCACTACAGGAGATATCCCGCTGTACTTGAAGGGTATAGCGACGAGAATCGGATATCTGATATTAAGGACTCTAAGTCCACGAGTGGCTACGTGTTTACACTAGCCGGTGCAGCCATTGTATGGAAATCCTCTAAGCAAACTGTGATAGCTAGATCCACGATGGAATCTGAGCTAATAGCCTTGGACAAGGGTTGTGAAGAGGCTAAATGGCTACGCCATTTTATAGAGGATATTCCTAATTGGAAAAGACCGGTACCTCCAATATGTGTGCATTGCGATAGTCAAGCCACAATTGGGAGAGTACAGAGTCATATGTATAATGGTAAGTCTAGACATGTGCGTCGTAGACATAATACCATTAGACAACTTCTCACAACTGGTGTTGTCTCGATTGACTACGTAAAGTCAAAAGACAATATAGCGGATCCGCTGACCAAAGGTTTAGGCAAAGAAGTTGTGGAGAAGTTGACACGAGGAATGGGTCTAATGCCCTTGGACTAAAAAGTTCTATAGTGGACACCCAACCTAGCTGGCACCTAGGTTCAATGGGACAACTAAATTATGGAACGGAGCGCGTCACTGTGGGGGTCTCGGACTCCCTACCACTCCTCGTTAAAACAGTGACTCCCGCACGAGGTTAGCATGTAATTGCTTTAATGATTCTTGAGTATGCGGGATACTCGAGAAAGAATCACCTATGTTAGAGAGAAGTGAGGGTCGCTTCAAAGGAGAATTGTTGGGCACAATTCTTTAGAAACTCTCGTAGAACCAAGAACGGAGACCCACGACCAAAACGGGCACACTCGTGAGAGCAAGAGCATGGTTGGAAGATTCCTGTGTGAGATATGTCATCGTCTACACAAACGGCAGTCGGTTCAAAGACATCGTGTTCTACTGTACAACCTGTAGAGTAAACATGTCTTTACAAGGGAAGGTTCAAAGGGTATAGTGACTCCCTACCTATCCTATGCAGGGATCGACCGTTTGAACACAGTTGTTTCCGATTTCAAAATACCCCGAAAATCAATTTTTCATTCATGTGGGGGATTGTTGAAAAAAATAGCTTAAAATGGATTAAAAGGCATGTTAAGTGGCTATTTTGTGGTACAATTATCAGTGGGGTCCACTTCCAATTTCGGTCGGGTCAAAGTGGATTCGGATTCTTCGTAGTGAGACGAAGAGATTGATATATTGTACGCTCAAAACGGATAATGGGTGAATGAGATATTGATTCTCAAAGTAGACCCATTTGAGTTGGAAAATGAAGGGAAAAAGTGAGCTTTTGTCCCACATTGGGTTGGAAAGAGGATTTGCCCCCCTTATATACAAGAGCTCTTTTCAAGCTTGTAGGATTGTATAGCATAGAGGCTCTCTTGCGCGGGGGGGGGGGGGGGGGGGGGAGGGGGGGGGTGCAAATCAAATTCCAACTAGACGAGATTGAAAAAGGCTTGATTCAAGCCCGAGCTCGTGTGCGCCAGCACCTGGGGGCACGAATGTCGTCCGGAAATTGGCTGGCCTTGCGCCGAACTTGAAAGTTCGACCTTGTGGCCATCATGGCCGAAACACTGGTAGTTTCGGCCATGTGGGCACCATGCTTTCAGTTTCATCCTACACGAACCTGTGCAGTCTGTGACCGTTGGGTGTTCAATTCAAACCTGTGCAGTCTGTGACCGTTGGGTGTTCAATTCTTTGAATTAATTCCAATCTTTATTTTTGAATTGAAACCCATGGTAATGGCTGTTGTTACCAGGTGTAGTGGGGGGTGCCTTTAATTGTCCTATTAAGAGCTATTTAATCCTTCAACCCTATATAAGAGAGGGTAGAGGCAGCAGAATTTTTACACACAGAATTACACAACACGAAAGTATAATTTCCAGCTTCAAAAAATCTCTGCTTCTACTCTTTCTTTGCCTACTGTGTTCATAGCCTTGTCTTGCTCGCCGGATTCTTTGTTTGAATGCTCAAACATTGAATCATAGCAAGTTTTATCCTGGGAAGCCTAGGCCACAACGCTCCTAGCATCTTTGGGAGGTGGCAAATAAGGTTTTAAGAAAAGAGTGATCACTTGACTCTTGCAAAAACCCAACACCAAACACTAGCCAAATTTCTCCACCTTTTCTTCCCTTCTTTCCAGAAAATAATAGTCATATTTTATTTGATTATTATTTGTTTTTCTACCAACGGCTCCAACAATTAAATATTACTCGTTGCTAGTTTGACTATGAATCTAGAAAGTCACACCTTAATGGTGCATGGTAATGCTGAATACTTTAAAAGAAATTGATAAGGAATTATCGATATTGAATTAATTAATACATTAATAGTAACTCATGTGAATGGAGCAAATCATTTGACTAGTCCCCTACCACTTAGTTTGCTGACAGTAGGGACGCGTGATTAGTCTTTTGACTTTCGGCTGTGGATACTCTTGGGCTACCAAAAAAAAATTAATACATTAATAGCTGATTAATGAATTAATTTAATATTGGATAGTTTTGGATTTTTAAAAGGCTAGCACCTTTGGGGCCCAAACCATGCTATATAAATAGCTTTACCATCTAAGGAAAAGTGAAAGAGATTTTAGTCGGAGAAACAAAAAACAAAATCACGTAAAAATCTATGGGAGTTCTCGCATGTCCGACCGAATAATTGGATGGTTCAAGTTGTAGATTCTACCAAAGCACGCTTCAAGAGCGTGCCTAGGGGGGCCTTGGCTCCCCTCCCCACCCTAATTTTTTTTTAATATTATATATGTATTTAATTATTTTAAAAAAATATTATATAGAATTTTAAAATTTTGTTGTTTCTTCAAAATATTTGACCCCCTCCACTTAATTAATTTTACAGGTTAAGTTATAAACTTCTTAATCTTCTCAACTTTTCCAATTCTCTCCCATTTCAAATTATGTCTTCCCTATATTGTTGACTTACATTCAAATTAAACCTCATTTAACCTACTTACTTGTTTCTTTCTCTAGAACCATACATATATGCGGCATTTATAACAAGATAATTTGTCATTAATAAAATCTATGCATATTTTTCAAGTTAATTTTTGTTTTTTATTTTTATTTTTGTTTTTGTTTCTAACTACTTGTTTGGTTAATTTTTGTTTCATATTCTATTGTTTATCTTAAATAGTTGTTTTATTTGATTCTAAATAATGGATATCAAGGTGACTGTTTGGTTAATTATGTAAAATTGTAGTTATGTGATAAATTTTGTATTTAATTTTATTTTTATTTTTTTGAAAAATATATGGTACTTTATTAGAAGTAAGCCGAAATAATGTCAGGTGGGTAAACATCCCAATGCATAACAGCAGGTTGCTGGTATGCCGAAGTAGCTAAAACATGAGCTAAAAAATTGTCTAATCTAGCAATATAATTAACTGAACAAGACTGAAAAAAAGATATAGCTGCTCTGCAGTTGTCAATGGCATAGCCGACGTAAGAGCGAAACGCAGTAGATGGCGTAGTAAGATATCGTTGTAGTGTCAAACAATTCGTATATATGTCGATGTGTTGTTCCTCGATCCTTTAACCATGATAGGACTTCCTTGCAAGCGAGCGCCTCGACCATTAGTGGTGAGGAACAATCCAGTAGAGACGCAGTGAGAGCCGAGACGTATCCCCCATCCACATCTAGGAGAATAGCCCCAACCGCAGCTTTGCCTGTGCCATGTAAGAACCCCGCGTCGACTCGGCATATTTTTCGGGAGGGTGTGGAGCTCGCAGTATGGTGGCCGTACTGTGCTGCCGTAGGTGGTGGCTCCATTCCGGTTCGGACGGCAGTGGGTTGCCGTGTTTGTAACCATGCATGCATGGTAACCCTTGCCGCCGAGATCAAGGATGATGGATGTGGTATACATGCATTCCAAACCGCCCCGTTCCGTGCTCTCCAAATATTGTATAGAATTGATGCTGCATATACAATCCCATCAGAGTCTAGAACATTTAAGAGCTCACAAAACCAAACATGAAAAATATTTGTCACAATATTTGGGATTGGAAGGTTGGATCGTTCCCATATGTTCTTTGCAAATTCGCACAACACTAAAGCATGCATAGTGTCCTCTTGAGATATTTCACACATGGCACAATGTGGATCCACATCTACCCTCTTTATAAGCAAGTTAGTAGTGGTTGGCAAAATATCACTAATGGCTCTCCACAGAAACATTCTCCACTTTGGAGGGATTTTGAGTTTCCATAGGGTCAACCATTTCGTAAACGCCCCGGTATCACTTTCATAATTTCCAACTATCAACCTGTACCCACATTTTACCGAATAAACTCATCTCGGGTCTCCATGCCAATACCACGTATCATCATATTCTGGGGAGACAGGTATTTTTATAATATTTGCCACATCATCAGGTTGGAATAAATTAGTTAGAATTGAGTGATCCCATGAACCTGTCTGTTGATCTATTAATCCCACCACTCTGGCATCCTTTAACTGTATTGGCATCTCAGTTTGTATCATAGGGTCGTGGTCACCCTGTAACTAAGGATGAGTCCATATGAGCGTAGACTCCCCGTTTCCAATTCTGCGTCTTACCCTATTGCAAATTATACTCTTAGCTGCCATAATGCTTCGCCAACAGAAACTGGGGTTATTTCCTATCTGTGCCTCAAAAAATGATCCCTTAGCATAATAGCGAGCCTTATATACATGAGCCACTAGGGACTCAGGTTTAGTAAGCATTCGCCATGCCTGTTTCCCCAAGATTGCTAGGTTAAAGGCGCGTAAATCCTTAAAACCCAGACCTCCATATTTCTTAGGGACACATAACTTATCCCAAGCTTTCCAATGAATTCTCCTATCAGTTCCAGAGTCCCACCAGTAACGATTCATAGTCCTTTCAATTGCTGTGCACACAGATATTGGCAGTAGAAAGACACTCATTGAGAAAGTAGGCATAGCTTGTGCCACACTTTTCAACAAAATCTCCTTTCCTGCCTGTGATAATAATCTCTTATTCCACGACCCTATCCTTTGACGTATTTTATCCTCAATATATGAGAAGGCTGCTTTTTTGTTTCTTCCAACAAAAGAGGGAAGGCCCAAATACTTGCCAAAATTAGGAGCCTGCCTTACTCCCAACACTTGAGCCACAGCTTCCTTATCCATATCATTTGTATTTCTGCTATAACAAACATTTGACTTGTGATAGTTAACCACCTGCCTAGATAAACTCTCATACACTGATAGGCATTTTTTGATCTCATTAGCCTCCTCCACATTAGTTTTAAAAAATAGGAGACTATCATCAGCAAAAAACAAATGAGAGATAGGGGGAGCACCTCTCGCAACTCTACAACCATGAATCAAACCTGTATTATGAGCCTGCTGCAATAGTAGGGAAAGACCTTCTGCACAAATAATAAATAGATATGGGGACAATGGGTCTCCTTGCCTTAACCCCCGCGAGGGTACAATGGTATCACTCCTGGTGCCATTTATCAATATGTTATATGAGACAGTAGTTACACACTTCATTATTAGCTCCACCCATCTTTCATCAAAGCCCAATGCCAACATCATATTCTTAAGAAAAGACCATTCCATTCGGTCATAAGCCTTTGCCATATCTAGTTTAAGAGCACTCCACCCCACCGCACCACATTGCTTTCGATTCAAAAAATGTCCCACTTCCGCAGCTAGCAAGATATTATCTGTGATTAGTCTATCAGGAATAAAGGCACTTTGAGACTCCGATATAATCAATTCCATCAACAGCTTCATTCTATTAGTAATTATTTTTGCCATAATCCTATAAACCACATTACTGAGAGCTATAGGGCGCAGGTCAGTTACTAACTCAGGGGAATTCTTCTTCGGGATCAAAACAACATCTGTTCTGATCTATTCAATTCAGGAGGTAAATTTCGAGAATTTAGGCAACCTACCACAAAACTTGATACATCACCCCCTACCACATCCCAAAAATGCTGATAGAAGCCCGGATTCATTCCATCCGGCACCGGTGCCTTGTCTGGAAACATTGCAAATAAAGCAGTTTTAACCTCTTCTAATTCAAAAGGCCTGAGCAATGTTTCATTTTGTGCCTGAGTTACGCGCGGGGTGATGCCTTCAAAAAAACCCTCTCCAGATCCCGGACTTTCAGAGTAGAAAATATGATTGAAATACTCAAAAATAATATTTCTCATGGGCTCCCCTTCCACCCAGTCCCCATTATCAATCATTAATCTAGATATAGTATTCTTCTTTTTGCGATGAGAAGCATACCTGTGAAAAAACTTCGTATTGGCATCGGCCTCCTTGAGCCAGTGTTGCTTAGCTCTCTGCCTCCAGTAAGCATCCTCTTGGGCTTCAGTGCGACTTAGAAGCTGTTCTAAGCGCTGGAACTCCGCAAGTGAGGCCGGATCATTACATCCCCTTAACCGTTGCTGCTTCTTATTTAAGTCAATAATCTGCTTGCCATACTTGTGGTACCGGTCTCCACCCCATCGTGTTAACCGATTTCCACAGTATTCAATACAGCTTTGCAAACCCCGTCCCCGTCCTTCCTGCCATGATTGCTGGACCACCTCCCTACATCCCTCATCATACAACCACGCCATCTCAAACTGAAATCCTCTCTTACCAGGCTCATTCCTCCCTAAGGACTCATGGATTCCCAGAAAAATAGCCGAATGATCAGATTTTCGGGTTCTCAGATTTGTCATCCTGGCCCTCGTGACTATGTTGCGCCACCCCTCAGTTACCAGGACCTTGTCAAGTCTTTCCTCAAGCCAATTCACTGTCCCCTTCCCCTTTTCCCATGTATACGGGTAGCCATCCATAGGCATCTGAGAAAGCCCACAATCCTCAACAGCCTCCCCAAAACCTCGTAGGAGGCTATTCGGGTGCGGGTTTCCCCCTCTCTTCTCATACTGATATAACAGATCATTAAAATCTCCCACAACAATCCACGGGAGATTTGATTTGATAGATAACGTTCTCAAGAGATCCCATGACTCAGTGCGCCTCGTACGTTCAGGAAACCCATAATAACATGTCATACGCCATCGTGGTAAGCCAGTAATAGTTACCTCAACATCAAAATAGTTCGTTGAGTAACTGAGTAAACGTGTTGTGCTATTCTTCCTCCAGAACAATACCAAACCACCACTCAAACCATTGTTATCAACATAAAACAGTCCTTCATAGCCAATCTTGACACGAATCCGTTCAGCATGATCGCGTGCCACTTTAGTTTCCATCAGAAATACAAATTCGGGTTGCTTACGGGACACCCAGTCCTCCACTTCACGAACTGTCCGTGGATTACCCAAGCCACGGCAGTTCCAACTTAGGGTACTCATTGATTCGGGCGGGTCTGGGAACCAGAACCCGCCTGTTGCAAGTTTTTTGAGAGCTCGGCCATAACAACATCCCCATTAACAAATCTCCCATCATCACCCACTTCTTCCCGGCGCCGTTTGGCCACCGCCACCAACTCCGCCTCTACGGCGCTATTGGGACGATTACCACCATCCGCCCCCCGTCTCTCCTCCGCTGTTTGCACCGACGCACGTTGTGCCACTGCCGAGCCCCCTGGCGGTAACAACCAACTGCCCCCCACTGGCCTAGGGCCACAAGATCCCCCTGCACGCAACTCCGACCCAAACAGATACTCTTCCACCGTCAATGTCGAATCTCTCGCACCACGGCAGAACTTATAGGAATGCCCTAGCATGCCACAAAAATAACAGTACGTATGTAGCCTTTCGTACTTGAACGTGACCCAGCAACTTGTCTTATCCCGCTTAATAAAATTCATCCGTCTTTTCAAAGGTTTATCAACAGCCAGCGAAACCCTAATACGATGAAACACTTTCCATGGAGCATTGTCAAAACGGTCATCGCTCTTTACAAACTTTCCCATGTAGTTCCCAATCTGCTCCAATATTCGACCGGTCGAGTAGCCTTTCGGTAATCCATGCAGCTGTACCCATAAATCCACCGAATCCAGCACCACATCCGTCGGCATCACTCCCTCAGGGACTTGGTTACACACAAGGGTGCTATTATCAAAGGACCATGGCCCCTCATTCAGAACCCGTTCCATGTCCGTGACGTGATGGAAGACGAACAAGAACCGGCCAGGTTCCACCTCCGTTGCCTCGACCCCACTTACCGGTTGCCACACCGACGCCATGACCTGACTCATGAACTCAAGCTTGACAAGCTTTCTTGTCAAGAAACGCCCTACAACTCCCCAGCTTTCGTCTTGAACTGTCGGCGCCGCCTCATTCCCCTCCGACTCGACCAACGGCATGAAAGCCATGGCCTCCTCCTCCAAAACCATGTCCGCCCACCGTTCGGCGAGCCCTGCTACTCCCGCATCAGCTGACGTCGACGCCATACACAGCGCCGTGAATAAAACTGCTCGCTTCAGATTACCGGAAAGTTCCGTGAGAAAAGTCGATCGATCGACGTGAGAAACCTAGAAACCCTAGGTAGAGAATTTTGTATTTAATTTAAAATGCATAATAATGTAACAATTGTGTAGTATATGTATTTGAGAAAACAATTGTTATTATGTTATGTTGTGAAGATGATTTTTCAAGAAATAATCAATAGTCTTTTAAAACATGAGTGAATGTTTTCATTCTTTCAACCGTACAAAGCAATGTGCATTGAAAAGTATATTGTAAATTAATTTAATATAGATTCAATTATAAATGATTTATTCTAAACTTTATTAAATTTGTAATGAAATGATTATTTTAAGATATGTTAACGGGATATCAATGTATTTGATTTAGTACTTCAACCTAATTGGTCCCTTGCACTATTCAATCCTGACTCCGCCCCTGTTCAAGGGTAAGAACATTCAAACTTCATCTTTAAATGTAAAATATAGAAACAAACGATTGATTCATGAAAAATGGGGTGGTGAGGTGCATGAATGATATCCATCTAGCGGAGGCTCAAGCTGTAAAGGAAGCACTCTCGTGGCTCAAGGATATGGGTTATTATAAAGTGAAGATCTTCTCGGATTGCCATGTTATGTGTTCGTATCTGAATGGTACCTCTCAAGATTATTCGTATGCCAGATGTGTTATACGAGAGTGCCATGACATTTAAAGACACTTTGAAAGGGTGTCCTATCACTATATTTCTCTATCAGTGAATAAGGTGGCTCATGCTTTGGCTCGAGCCATGAGTTCTCAAACTGGTCCCTCTTGTTGGCTTTTTTCAATTTCTTCATGTATTGAACACTTGATTTAATAAATCTTATTCCTTTGGTTTTAAAGAAAAAAAAAAAAAGAAAAAGAAAGAAACAAACGATTGATGCTTTCATTGCATATGTATTTATTGTTTTTCTCACATTGAAGTGGTAATCATTTCTTGCATATATGAATGTACAGATTAATATATATTATTTCTCTTTGTAATTTAATTTAAATAAATTTGAGAAAAGGGTCAAATAGGCATCTAAACATTTCACGAAAAGTCAATTAGCCCCATAAATTTTTTAAAAGGTCAATTGAACACATGAACACACGATATTTAGTTAGATGACCCCATTAGTCGGTAACTTCTCCGGTAAAAGCTGGTAATTGCCACCATGACGCGCCACATAACCGTTGGAGTGAGTACTTGGCTGCCACATAAGCATAAATAAAAAAAAATTTAATTAAAAAAATAAAAATAAAAATTACGATTCAGCCCTGCATCTTCTTCCTCTGCGTCTTCTTCTTCTTCTTCTTTGTACTCCATATGGGTCATCATAATCATGTGAAATTCCAGTTCTTCTTCTTCTTCTTTGTACTCCATATGGGTCATCATAATCATGTGAAATTCCAGACCACCATCCCATCTATGTTCTGATAAATTCTATTTTATTCCATAATTACACAATTCCCAAAAAATAACTACAATGAGTATACACATCAACCATCACCCAACATACCATAACCCACTCCTCTTTCGGTGTTAGTCTGCTGTCTATACAGCTACACAATAATGTGAATGTTATTTTATGCACGATATACTAATTAAGTGAATATTATCATGTAGTGCAGAAGACGCAGAGGAAGTGGGTATAGAGCTGCGACCATACTAATCAAGATTGTATACATTGGAAAAAATCAAGCTTATAGGCCCCAAAGCTGTAATTATGGAATAAATCCAATAAGTCAATAACACATCAACGCAGTGAAGAAGACACAGAGGAAGAAGACGCGGGGCTGAATCGTAATTTTAATTTTTATTTCTTTAATTTAATTTTTTTTATTTATGCTTATGTGGCATCCAAGTACCCACTCCAACGCTTATGTGGCACGCCATGGGGGCAGTTGTTGACTTTTACTGGAGAAGTTATCGACTAATGGGGTCAACTGACTAAAAATCGTGTGTCCATGTGTCCAATTGACATTTTTAAAAGTTCGTGGGGCTAATTGACTTTTCGCGAAATCTTTAGGGGCCTTTTTGATCATTTTCTCAATAAATTTTCATATTTGTTCTGAAATCAGCGTTAGGTTTTAACTGATACTTAAGGTGTTGGACGAATATGACTATTACAAGAATAATTTAGTGTCTAAATATGATCATCTTTATAATTAAGAGGTTGAGTTTATTATTAGAATAAAAGACATTTTTAGTCTCAAATTTATAGTGGCTTGGACAATTTTAGTCCTTTATAAAAAAATTTGTCATTTTATGGACAGAGTTATTGTGGCGAGGACATTTTTGGTCCTCCGTCTATATTTCTGTTAGATAACCGTCTGAGAGAGGGGTAATTACGTCAATTTAGGCTATCTCCTTTTATCTATTATATCTATGTGTGTTTTGTTTTCTTCTCGGTCATAATTCGAAGGAGTCGGAGAGTCCAAGTTGCAGTTGTACGAAGAAATTGCCGGAGAATCGAAGCCGCCAAACAGGTTACTAATCAAATAGATAGAAGGAGAATCGAAGCCGTCAAACACACATAGATATAATAGATAGAAGGAGATAGCCTAAATTGACGTAATTTCCCCTCTCATACGGTTATCTAACAGAAATATAGACGGAGGACCAAAAATGTCCTCGCCATAATAACTCTGTCCATAAAATGGCAAATTTTTTTATAAAGGACTAAAATTGTCCAAGGCACTATAAGTCTAGGACCAAAAATGTCTTTTATTCATTTATTATAACATAATTGAGGGACTAAAAATGTTATAAATATTTTAATTATGTGGACATTATTATTATGTAACGGTAGTATTTACATATGTCTCCATTTATGTTTTTCGTTATAATTCGTAATAATTATATATATGTATCATGTATAATGTACTCAAAGAAGATGAATGAAAATTTCTACTATTGTGTTTTGTCTCTTTTCATTTCCTATTTTGTCTCTTTTGTTGCTATATCATGATCCGTTATGGCTACGAGCTAAAGGGCAAATTATTCTGTGAGCACGTGTCTACCTTGCAAAGTGAGCACGGTTTCATATCCATAATTTTTATACTGTTGATTCATAATTTTTATACTGTAGATCCATAATTTTTATACTTTAGATTCCAATTATTGAACTCTGTTTTCACAAATCAGAGAACTATATATTCATAATTTGATAACTATACAATTTAGAAATTATGAATTTACAGTACAGAAATTATGAATCTACAGTATAAAAATTATGAATCTACAGTATAGAAATTATGTATATGGAATCGTGCCCACAACATAACGTTCCGAGATAAAGGCTATGATTAAAAAAAAAAAAAAAAAAAAAAAAAAAGGTCTTTTTCTCAAGAATCAATAAATTGAAAATACATCAATTTTAAAGAAAAAGGAAAATAGTTGTCACGTTAACAACAAAAAGGATGACGGTTTGTGCAACAAAAAGTCAAAGCTGCCCTGCCCCTCACCGTCTGTATCTTCTTTCTCACAGGTCACAGGGCGACACTGTGAAACCCTAGTTTTCACTACCAGCGTTCACATTTCACGAACCTCGTTCCTAGAAGGGGAAGGAAATCCATCGTTTTGATGGAAATTTCCAACATCTATGCCTGCACATAGATACAAATGTTCGATCTTCTTATACAGCGATAAAGGCGATGTTGAGACAAGGCTTTTCATCCGCCGGCGCGGCGTCGGGTTCAGTTGAATGCGGCAATTGCGGGGCAGTTGAGCGGCGGCTGCCGCTCCACGACGTCCGCCACCGTGGAAACTTCCGGAAGCTGTGCACTACATGCGTCCTGAGACTCCATTCCCAGTCCTTCTGCCCCACCTGCTTCACCGTCTACAATCCTTCTCCGCCTCGTTCCTCCCAAAACGACGCCGTCACCTGCTTCAAGTGCTACTCCTCCTCTCACGCCCAGTGCGTGGGGCCGAACCCCCCGAATCCGTACATTTGCCCCCTCTGCGTTACCCCTAACTCCTCAATTTTTGCCCTCAGGAAGGCCAATGGCGCTAGTGTGGATGCCAAAATTGGGAATGGTAACAGTAACAGCTGCAGGGTTATTGACAAAGCTGCGGCTAGGGTTTTGCTGGCTGCAGCGAGGATTGCTGCCACGTCGATGAGTAAGGCCGCCATGGCGGCAAGGACAGAGGCAGAGAGGAGGGCGAAGGAAGCTGCTTTTACTAGGAAACGGGCTAGGGAGGCACTGGAGCATGTTACTCATTTGGCTGCTAAGGAGAAGGTGAGGAGGAAGGAGGTTTTGTTGGTCTCTTCCCAGGTCCGGCCCTCCGGTGGGGGTAATGTGGGCTCTGTAGTAGTTAAGAAGGGGGATATAGGTAGGAATGCAAGCGGCGGTGTGGTGGCAACTCCATTGCCAGTGGTGGTGAAGAATCAAAGAGAAAATTTGGAGAGGGTAGATACTTCTAGTGAGGTTTTGGCAGCTTTGAATGCTGTCGATCTTACCGGGAACGAGAGGTTGCAAGGGTTTGAGGGTCATAATGAATTTGCCGAAGTGCAAGCTCCGGATAACACTGTTGCCATGGATGTGGAGGAGAATGAAGGGTTGGCTGTGGCTCCTGATACTGTCAATGGACTATCAATAGTTCAGAACAATGGTGGTGGGGATGAGAATGGAAAGTCTGAAAGTTTGGCTAAAATTGAGATTAATAATGGCCAAGAAGTGAGAATAAACGGTGGGATGGTGTCTATACCTGCCAAAGGGGATCAAGACCAGCAGACAAGTCATACTCTTGCTGTGGAGCACAATAAGAGTGTTCTGCAGCAGTAATCCAGTTTAGTTAAATCATGCTTTAAGACAAATGTGGGATAATGATATGATCTGAGAAGTTCTGTTTAAATTGATTATTTCATGTTTATCTATATTTGAATTGTCTTTCTTCAGGCTATGTGTCGCCAGAGGCTAGTTTTTTCGTTATCTTGATGGGAACGAGGATGGGCAAAATTTTGTGAGTTGTTTTTGCTAGATAAAGGAAAATTTATCCTAGTATAGCTTTTATTCTATTTTAGAGCATAGTTCTATGTAAAAATGTTTTGAACATGTAGTGTACTTGTGTATTATATTTCTAGATGCATTTAATTCTCATCCTTCTGTTTAAATTGTTTTGCTAAAAACAGTCTCTTTGTTGATAAATCTACTAATGAACTTGTGATAAGCTGGTGCTTGGGCCTTTGAAATGATTGTACGGTCATTACTGTGGAGAATAAAGCTAGTAATGGAAGAATGTTGATCCAACAAGTACTAGATTCTGTTGATAGATGATTGGTTTGAAGTTCACTAAAAGTTTACAGAATGGTTAATCTGGAAGTGGGTTGCTTGTCCTTGGATTTTGTTCATACCTTCTGCCCTTCTGATATTCTTTATACTAGTTATTTGTTGTGTGGTTTAATAACCACATGAAGTGAAGATGTCTTTGACATCAATTATGTATCGTTTTATAGTCATGTAGTGAGTTTACTTGACTAGTACGTAGAAACCCATAAAGAACATGATCATCATGCTCTTCCTCACTTTGATTGAATGATGTATTCCATGTGTGAATTTTCATGCTTCCATTAGAACTTTGCCGTAAAGCTTCAAAATCTTCTTTTTGCTGATTTTCGCTCCTATGTACCAGTAGAAGTACGAGTGTACGTGTCCCAGTGCAATATTCTACATGTCTTTGCACGAGTCCTTGAACGAGTGTATACTTACTCATACATTTTGACTTGAAAGATGCTCGAATTAAACTATGTAATCTCTATAAACGAGTGTATACTTACTCATACATTTTGACTTGAAAGATGCTCGAATTAAACTATGTGATCTCTATAAAAGTTGTATATCTTTACGCTGTTGTTCCATGCCATTTTAATCACTCTTGATGGGAAATATACCTCGGGTATCTAACTGTATTGATGCCAAATTTGTACTTTGTATACTACACGCTCCGAGGCACACTTCCTGACCCCATTCGCGTTCGCTCTAACCCGACCCAAAACTCGTTATCATCGTCTGCAATGTTATCTTCTGCACGCATCCCCCTTGACTTGGTATTGAACCCGAAGCTCAGCTTGGAGTCCCTGAGCCCACAACCTCTTCTAAACTAGAGGACAAGTACTGTTGTCAACTTCATGTCTGACCGCATTAGAAAGGAATGTGTCAGGAACTTATTCACGTGTGGGGTAAATCTGCATGGCCTTCGACCGCCTCAACGCATGCGCGACACATGGCTTACATGCCGAGCCTAGTCCAGTATAGTTACCATATCATTTTGGCGTCGTCTGTGAGAATCGATACTATTTGCCACAAGATTAGCTCCGTGTCCCCAATCATGCATCCTCGTTACAATTTTGAAGGCGAAGGAGACTTCAATCATGGGTTATCCGACCTTTGCTCCCAATTGCGACCCCAGGCAGCCTCTAATCAAACACCTCAGATCGGGTTAGTCACCCCGAGTCAAACTGACATTACTACGGTCAATTCGAACACTATTCACCCATCTGTATCAAGTCAAGCCTTAAATCCATTTCAGATTTGCCCGATGCTCGGATGGGTATTTTCTAAGTAACTCGAAACACGATACTCCGAAATTTGTCAGTTGGTTAGGGGATTAATAGAGTCCTTATTGTAAACCCAACCAAATGATGAAAAAATTCTCTTTGTTTCCTTTTAGAAGTTTATCAAACCGAGAATCCGAGCGAGGTAAACTAAAGGAACTGGCTGACAAAGCTGGTCACTAGATTGCATGGACTTCCAATTTCTAGATCACATAGTACCAAATTCATGGGCCAAGGGATAATAAACGTCCTCATTTTCGACTTTCGGATCGTAACCGGTTACAAATCCATAGAAAGTTCGGTCCCTAGATCGGCAAACAGCTTATCGTTTGATCAGTAACTGATCCCTATTTCAATGAAACCCTGACTTTTTTTTTATTGCAAAACAGAATACTATGATTAACAATCACTAGATCAGCAAATCCCAAGTCGAGCAAGCCAGAGGGCGATGGATCGAGAATTGACCATGTACCCGAGACAGGCCGAAACTCTAGGTCCGTTTGATAATCAGATAATTAAACATGAAGACCCTGGACCTAGGGGTGTTACAAAATTTGGCAGTATGCAAAGGCATAAGTGAAAAGAAGGGCGATAATATCGTTGTCTGGATAATCCAAAAATTATTATATACATAAAAGAAGCCTTAAAGAGTTAAGTCAATATGCTCGGCACAAATAGAGTCAGACTCCTGAAGCAAAAACAATATGCCCAACACATAAGGGTCGAGCTCCCGAATTAACTAGCTAACCTTCCTTGGAAGGCTCTACATCGGTGTTCGCTGTCGCGTCCCCTTTAGCTTGGTGTGATTGATCACCATGGGAGGATGTTGAGGACGGAAGTCATGTCATCGGCCTCAAGGGACTTGGATAGGGCAGTAGTGATGTCAGACTGCATTTTCCTTTTCCTGCACAAAAGAAAGTCCACTTCCCGTAGGCTGTTAGGAATAAATTGTAATAGATTTTGAAATGTCAAATTGTATTTTAGATTTCCCAATTTTATTTGGTTTAAAGTTAGTTGAGTCTTAGACCATAAACGGAAAATTATTAAATAGAATTAAAAGAGAAAAACAGAAGATGAAGATATATGCATTTGATATGTATACTATGAAATTCGAAGAAAGAAGAACGTGAATTAAAGCTTGCATGAAATTGACTTGGAGATCGAGCATCTATAGAAAGGAAGAAATATATGTATATCAAAGAAGATTGATATCATCAAATGACCGTATGGACGGATTGAAATATGCCTGAAATATTATACCCAATGTTTCAAGTTTGAATCTCATCACCCACAACTCAGATGAAGTATGGGCGTCGGTTTGGCCGTTGGGCGTGAAATTGGGATGCAATTTCAGATGGCATGAAGTATTGGGCATCAATTACAAGTCAAAGGAGATCAGTCAATAATTGAAATAAGCAGTTTGAGAAGCAATTTCAAATCAAATTAAACCAAGATGGATTCTGAAGACAATAAGCATGAATTTGAAGAATAATCACAAGCATAAATCACAGCAGAAAAATTACTAGTCCAAACTAGTAAGGGATTAAATTGAAGAATATTTTTGAAGAATTAAAATTCCAAAGAGGCATGATCTACCTCAGAAAAATTGAAGAAGCCATTTTTACGTGAACTTGAAGCTCAAAAATTCCCAAAAAGTGTGAACTACACCAGATGCATTTTTTGGAACCCATTTGCATGAACTTGAAGCTCAACAACGGCTAGAATATTTTCTGACACATTGCCCGGAGATAAGATAAGATTTCTGAAAAGGCTACAAGGCTAGCTACAAGAATTCAAAATTGAGATTGTCTTTTTCCAACGGATAAATTCTCAAACCAGCTATAAAAGGATGAAGATTGAAGCAGAGTTCTGAACAGAACAAAGAGTTTTTCAAGAGCAAGATAACAAGAGCAGTACATACGAAATATTCAAGTGAGATAAACACTCAGAGATACAGAGCTTGCAAAGAAATATTCAAGAGTGTTAAAATGTTCATCAAAAAGAGACATGCTACACATTGAAGATCATCTACGAAGTCTCAAAGTTGAAAACAAGAGAAAGCTTATTTTTCTACAAACGAGTGAAGTCCCTACGGGAGTGTAGGAAGAAGATTGTCACACGGAGTTGTGAAATCTTGGTTGTAGTTCTACCGGAGCGTAGAAAGGGAGGAAAGTAATACGGAGTTGTGAAATCCTGGGAAAGTAGCACGGAGTTGTGAAATTCGAATTGTAGTTCTACCGGAGTGTAGAAATGGGAGGAAAGTAGCATGAAGTTATGAAATCCTGTAGCAGTGTTCTAGGCACTGGGTTGAGCATGATTAGTGCGGGCTTGGTGATCAAAGCACAAGATCACAGAATTCATTGTATCTTGGAACCAAGAAGTGGTGGATATAGTAAATTGCTCTTGGAGATAAGAGCAAGTGGAGTATGAGGATTATGCCACCTCCGAACCACTCTAAATTTCCTTTGTTCTTTAATGCTTTACTTATTTACTGCTTGCTTGCTTCTCACGTGGATATACTTGACCCATTCACACACACCTTTTTATTATTCCGTTGTGCACAAGATTCTAACAACCATTTAAGAGTTTTGGTTTCTCTGTTGCCTTAATAATTGTTATATTTGGCAAAACAGTTTAAAAGTTTATTCACCCCCCTCTAGACTTTTACCATACCTCTTTTGGAACCAACATAGGCCCTTACCATTCTTCTCTGATCTTCGTACCAAGCCCGTGGTGGTCACGACGACGATGATTTCAACGCCGGTAAATCCGAAAAGCCTCACCTGAGACCTCGGCCGTTGATTATGGTGAAGATATGGTGCCTGATTATTGTGTTCGTGGGGACGTTTGCCGCGGTAATTGGAACGAGTGGTTCTTGGTGCTAGGAACGCAGTTCGCCAGCGGCGTGTTTCTGGGGACCGCTCTGATGCATTTCTTGAGCGATGCTAATGAGAGTTTTGAGGAGCTGAGTGATAAAAGAATACCCATTTGCATTCATGCTCGCCAGGGCTGGCTATCTTTTCACCATGTTTGCCGATTGTGTGATTTCCTATGTTTATAGCAAGCAAACAAATCTGCTAAACCCACTGCCGATCTTAAGCTCCAAGGTTCAACTCTCTTTCTATCAATTTACCACTACTTATCTTCTCTTTTTTAAGTGTCAATTTACCCATATATTGTAACTTGTAGGAAACACCGAGGGTAGATATTTCAATGGAATTGGGCCACCCATATGAACTTCTCTTTTTTTAAAATTAAAAAAAAAAAAAAAAAATAGATACATTAAAGGGTTTGTTTGGTTCAAACATGGAAATCGGAATAAATTCTTGATAATATGGTGGAATTAGAATGATTACCAATATTGATGTTTGGTTATGCATGATCTTATAATCGGAATACAAGTTAAAAAATAAAAAAAAATAAAAAAAAAATAAAAATAAAATAAAAAAAGATTCTACAATTAGAATGCAAGTTTTAAAAATACAAAAAAGAATAAAATAAATTAAGACAATTGATATTAAGAGTAAAGATGAAATTCATAGGTAATGCAGTGAGAAAGTCCATTAAAACAAAAATTAAGACAATTGATATTAAGAGTGAAGATGAAATTATTAGATAAGTGAGGATGCGATGGAAATGAGGAGACAATGAGATGAGGAAGGATAAGGCTAAATTAATAGAATTATACTGATTTAAAGTAGGTAATAAGTTTTATAATTATAAATGTAATCATCAAATCCTATATTTGTGTTAAGTTGTCAAGCAAATAATGTCTATTATAACTTTCATTATCATTCTTTGCTTCCAGCTTACGTTAGACTAATCTTAAGCCCTAGGCTATGATGGCACCGAAAGCCATTTCTTACACGCAACTTCACTGGGGGACAGTTTGCTTCTGTGTGTTGGAAGGGATCGCCATTGGAGTAGCAGACACCAAAGCGGATGCATGGAAGGCGCTTTGGACAAAATATTTGCAGCTATAGCAATGGGGATAGCACTGCTCAGAATGATCGATCCCAAATCGCCCGCTCTTGTCCTGCATAGAATGCGTGACTTAGTTGTTAAAACTTAACAGCCTCAAGCAAAGCTGTTTTCTTCAACAATAAAGACAAAAATGGAAAAAAAAGGATAACATATTTGAAATAATATTGTTTAGCATAACAGACATAAATCTTCAGCAGGCATGCATGATATTGTTAGTTCTCGTGCATCTATGGTCGTACTGGTATTCATAATGACCTTTAAACAGAACAATGGGGAAGAGGATCAAACATGCCTATAAACCTAACTTGCTAAAGGGGATTCCAGTCAATTAAGCTACAATTTATTGTAAAATTATAAAATCTAATCAATGCATGACATGAGCAAAACCACATTCGACCAGCAATACTCTAAACAAGGGCAGTACTTTGGCGGGGCAACCCCAGCCAAGTTGGTCAGAATGTTGACTTGGTAAACACAAAGTTACAAGTTTCACTGCCACCGGGAGCGGCCTATTGGCCTTCTTATTTGAGTCAGTCAACTATGAGCAACCTAGATGGCAAATTATATCGTGCACCAGGACGCACAGGCCAAAACGACGTTTCTCGTTTCTGCCGTCAACTTCTAAAAATAAAATAAAAAAATTTCATGCTTTGTATGTACAAAATTGTATAGTAGAATACACATAAACTCCTAACATAATAAACATAATCTAAGTATCTAACATAATACATAATACACATAATCTTTTAACATAATACACATAAACTCTTGACATAATACACATAAACTCAAGTGTTAAAAAAAAAAAAAAAAAAAAAAAAAAACTATAACGGGATTGGACGGACGGAACGGTGTCCATCGCGTCAACTCCCCACCAACTTATAAAATCATCTTCGTTTTGGGCCAGGGCGCACAATGCATTGTGCACCCTGGTACACGATATAACGATTGAACCTAGACTAGTTTACCTCCTTGTGGTCCTTTTTCGGGTGGAGTCACAAGGTGAGTGTTCACCCTAGGGCAGAACTTTGGCAATATAGTTGCTTCCTTTGATCCGGATAGCACATACTAATCTATAATTTGGTTCTCGAAATATAGTATGACATATCACACTAACAACGACTAGTTCGTATGAACATGACTATCCCAATTTGCATGTGTCCGTATTCAAACAGAAAAAATACTCAACTTTACGATTCTCAGAAGCTAGGATTCAAGGCATACTTAAAACAAATAACGCAATACTAATACAAGTAGATTATCTATGTTAGATATGAACATATGTACGGAACAGTGAATTTTTACCCCAAAAAGGCCCTATAAGCAAAGGGAGTGGTAGCAATAATACTAGCGGCAATATTATCCCCGGTTAGGTTCAGAATTCCGCTAATCCTTCAGCAAGTATGCTGCTAACTTTATCGTCACAGACACATATTTCAGTATCTTTCTCAACAGAACCCATTATCACAGCATGAGTAACGGCATCGGGAACCCAACCCTTTTCCAACATCAAGTCCAGCAATCGACACGCCTTGCTTCGATATCCCCCGCTCCAAAGGCTTTTAATCAACACGTTATACGCCGATGAATCACACATTCCGAATTTGGACACGAGTTTATCTACTACAGGCAAAATCATGTGCAATTGAGAGTTTCTCGTCAAGTACGAGAGTAGATTAGCAAGTGTTCCGGGATTTGGCGATAAACCCTCGTTGAGCATCGAGTTCAGTAATAGAACGCAATCTTCTGAACGACCTAGCAAGCCCATGCTCTCTATTATCACGCAATACGTTTCCTCGTCCAGAGTGCACCCTTCTACGGTCATTCTAGCAAGCATTACGAGGAGATGGTCTACCTCGCTTTGTTTAGAGAGCCCTCGAATAATGCTGTTGAAAGTCACAGTCAAAACGGGTGTTCCAGAGTAATAAGCCAACGATAGTAATTTAATTGCCCGAGCCGTGTTTCCACAATCGCAAATGCCCTTCATAAGCATATCGAACGATATAGACTTGAGAGCACGCCTCTTACTAGCCATTAGGGAAAACACTTCGGCGGCTTCTTGGCCCCTCTTCCACCGGCATAGACACTCGACAAGTTGACCGTACGACTCGTGATCGAGAACCCATGATTCGGCCCGTACTTTTCGGAACAATGTCAAGGCATCCTCGTATCCATCGGATAAGCATTTACCGATAATAAGAGCAGAATAAGTAGCAGCATCCGGGGTAGCCGAAGAAACAATCATCTTACCAAGATATTTCACCGCATCATTCATCCTCTCGTTTTCACATAAGTATCTAATAACGATATTCCAAGACCGTACATCTGTGGCATCCTTCTCAAACATTTCACCGAACAGATCTTTTGCAGCAAGAAAATCACCGGCATTAACATATGCTTCGAGAAGAACATTATAAGGAGAAGCACTCACAACATTAAAACCATCCAAAAACTTCTTAGCTTCTCCCAACTTGTTCGTTTCACATAACCTGTCAATTATACTTGCAAGAACACACTCATTAGGCACGAGATGACTACAAATCATCTCTTCCACAAGTTGCACCGCATCATCCATGAGAAAATTCTCGCACAAACACCGTATCATAGACTCATAGATCGACGAATTTGGAGATATCTTCGAAGATCTCATCATTGCAAACAGCCTCCTCGCTACCTCTAATTCATTCATTTCACAAAATACGGGCACTATAGAGGTATAAAAACTCAAATCAAGTTCAGATCCAGATTTAAACATTTGATCTAAAACGACAAGCGATTCACCAACTCTATCCCGGGCAACAAGTCCACTTAAAACTATCTCAAAAGTTCTACTATTAGGTTTACACCCTTTCCTATCCATCCTTCTGTACTGATCCAACATCGAATCGACCCGATCAGCCTCCAACAAAGCCTCCAACAAATAATTTAGTGTATCGGTGTTTGGTACAATTCCACCTTTCACCATCTCTTTATATACATATACTACATCCTTAAAATCTTTCTTTGCCTTCACAAGTGCATCCATTAACTGATTATATACACTTATAGATGGCTTAGAACCACAGAAATGTAAACAAGAAACTATACATAAAGCCTCACTAAGCCTATGATTCCTAACAAAAGCATCTATCAAAGCCACAAGAGCTTCTTCGAAACCTGGGCATTTTTCCCTCATCAACTCATTACAAAACCCCTCAACTTCCTCTATCTTTCCTGCCACACCCAATTTCAAGATTATCCTATAATATGTATCAGCAGTGTGGCGAAACCCCTTTTGAAGGGATGCCCATTTGAACAGCTTCAACGAAGATTCCAAATCAGCGGTGGAATCAATAACATTGATTAAGGTATCCGGGAGAAGCTTATTCCTCAAAAGTTGAATCTTTGTTTGAAACTCAGAAACATTGGGCGAATTTCTATCGGTTTCTCGGGGAATTTGGACACTATTTGCACATGAAAGGGAAGAAAGATAGAGACTTTGATAAACCCATACCGGAATTTTCTTGGAAAGGTTTGAAGCTGAGAGTTTTACAGCCATTAGGGCTGATTCTGAAGAGTTGCAATCTCACTCCAAACACTATAATTGACTGTTTATGCATACATGCGTCTGTATAAACATAGACTCCGTATTTATACTTCTTTAACAGTAGCTTTACTCAATTAAGAAAAAATTAAAACTTGAAAGATCGAATTTTTACCTGAAAATTAACTTGATAAATTTCAGAATGAGAGCAACTTGTTGAGAGCCAATTCTATGCTTTCTCGCTCTTCTAGTTTTTTCAAACGTTAGTTCTGCACCGGAGGGGTCCAATAGTTGAAATCAAACCTTCTTCCTATAACTAAAAGTAAGTGTTAATTCTCGGATAAATTTGTATGTGAGACTATTTTACGGGTCTTGTCAAGTTATAAAAAATTAAATTAAGGGTCACACTTATATGATGACAAATTATATCGTGCATCCGAGTGTATAATGCATTGTGCGCTTTGATCCAAAATAATGTCGTTTTGTATTTTTTTTTTTTTAAATTTCGTTTTCCTTGTCTGATGTTAACTTCTTAAAAAAAATTCTTCATGTTTCAAATTACATAATTGTATAATAGAATGTACATAATTATATAACGGAATACACATACACTTTTCCCGTGTCTGATGTTAACTTAAAAAAAAAAAAAAAAAAGTTCTCATGTTTAGAATGTACATAATTGTATAATAGAATGTACATAATTATATAACAGAATACACATACACTTTTCCCGTGTTTGATGTTAACTTCTTAAAAATAAATTTCTCATGTTTCGAATGTACATAATTGTATAATAGAATGTACATAATTATATAACAGAATACACATACACATTTTTGAAAGGATAATACACATAATCTAACATAATACATAATATACATAAATTCTTAATATAATACAGATAAACTCTTAAAAAAAATCTCCTATTTTGAAAGTACATAATTGTATAATAGAATGTACATAATTGTATATATAACAGAATACGCATACACCCCGTCGCGTCAATTCCCCACACAACTTAACAAAATGACGTCGTTTTGAGCGGGCAGGGTGCACATTGCTATATGCACCGTGGTGCACGATATAACGATTGTTGTATTATATAGTCTTACCGATCTTTATTCGTGAGATTGGTCCCGGTCCGGTCTTATCAAAATGAAAATAGCATACTTATACTGAAAAATGTAATGCTAATTAAGAATAAAGTGTTTGTTACTTATCAAAAAGTGTTCTGCCTCCATTTGCTGGTGCGTGAGACATTTTCCGGTAATATTTTCCAGCCAAACTTTCCAAATCAGGTCATCTTGCATTTGCGACCCTACTGTGGTTTTCTCATATTTTTCTTACAACTATGACAAAATGTAAAATTTCAAGCAGTGTACTAAAGTCTGCTTGGGTCACCAAAAATCATACTCATATTGGTATAGCATTCGGAAGCAACTGATCACAAATCTGGTAACCTTCTTTTGTCTCCCATATTGATTTCTCATACTCTCTTCCTGCTGTCACAATTGGTAATGGGTCAAAAAGAAAGACCATAGGAATTAGAAAGTTCTCATTCATTCCTTATCTTTATCCAATATCCTTTACATTCCTGGTTATGTTCTACCAATACCAAAATAGATTGCGCTGCTACTATTTCACCTCTTGGTATATCCCAATCATTAAATAATAATTAAAAAAAAAAAAAAAAAAAAAAACTAGTATAATTGTACATATAAACATTGCACACAGACAAGTACCCTATCAAGCCTATCTTCCATATAACCAAAATAAAAGTGAAAGAAAAACAACAACAGGAACAGCTTGCTCTTCACTGCACAGACACACACAAGGGCAAGGCTGAAAACAATAACCATATAGAAATGGTTGGCAATAATCCCAGAAAACTAGAAAACTTATTATTAAGTTACAAGATACAAGCATAAAACCAGTTCATACAGCATATATCTACAATACATCTCTAAACATCACAAGGAAACAGCTTTTAAATCCAAAAGGATACTACCAATCTACCACCATATGGTTCTCTACTTTCTTAGTATGCCAAGCTCAATGTTGTACTTGATTCATCTATTGGGTAATTGCTCAACCTCCAACACACTGTAAATCTTAGATTTCTGTGGTCATTTCTCTCTACTCTCTTTCAAACTGTAAATCTTGAATGTGTGATACAGATAGAACAGTCCAAATCTGCTCAAACTTCCCAGAAGATAACATACTAATTTCATCACTTTCTTTCCTTTTCGCTGTGTCAATGTGTCCTCCAATGAGCAAAGTACTGAGATTTTCCACCTTCTGCTTCAATTAGAATAATTCAAATACAAACTGCAAAACACATTTTAATTTGGGTTCGTGCTTCTCTGACATTCCTAGATCCAACAGAAGACCACAAGCATATACATATATATACATATATACATATACATATATATTTGTATTACTGTCTATAACCACTTATCTCCTCTGAGATGAATGGCTTCGAGATTTATAAGCTCCACCAAAGTCAATTAGGATTCCTCCTCAAACATGTTTTTGAAGAACGTATTCTTTTTGAGTTCTCCAACGGCAACTCCCTTGTAGTAATTTCCAGATATTTGATGCTCGCAAATACTATGGGATGATGGTCAAGACAACAACCTCAGTGGATTGCCCGGTTTGCCACTGACCAAACCGTCTTTATACTTCCCCGAGGTAAAAATAAAATAACAAAAAGGAACAGCCAAAACATTATGCACCTACTCTATATGACTTAAATTTTGAAAGAGCTACTTACTGCACTTTTCACTGGAAGGGCCAAAATTTTACCGACTTAAGCTCCAGCTAGTAAGCATCATGATAGGAAGCCATAGAGTACCTAAAGGCCCTTCCCTTCCATAACTAGTTATCAACAAGCTGATTTTGGGATGTTGCAGCTAACTTCCCTGGATTAGGGTTGGGTTAGTCTCTGCAACAGCAATCTTAACTGGTTGCCATCCCGATGGATGATGTGCGATCCATTTCTTCATATTGATAATCATGTGCAAGATCTGAAGTATTTCACCAAGAGATAGCTCTTTTAAACTCATCTTCTTTATAACAGTGGCTGCTTCATACCTTAAAAAGATAATAATATGTCATAAATGCAAATGTAATACAGATGAAAAGATTTTGGTAAAAACAAAACAAAGAGTTAATATCATCTGAGGTCCTCCGAGTATAGTGGTTTTGCCATGTTTAGTCCTAAACTTTCAAATTTAACCATTCATAGTCCAAGTTAACTACTCATGGTCCTTCAAGTTTCGAAATTTAACCAGTTGTGGTCCTCTTGAAAGGACCGTGGTTGGTTAAAATTTAATAGTTGAAGGACCATGGGAGGTTAACTTGGACCACGAATGGTTAAATTTGAAAGTCAAAAGACCACAGATGATTAATTTGAAAGTTTAGGACTGAACGTGGCAAAACCACCATACTCGGAGGACCACAGATGGTATTAACTCACAAAACAAAATACAAAAGAGAGAATCTCATTCGTAGTACAATTAAATTTCCAATAAAACAAAAATTGAAATATGGGCAAAGTGCTAAAGTAGTTTTATACCTGCAATGAGTAGCCAACAAGGCAGACTGTCCAGCAGAAGACGATAGAAATTTCTGGATTTCATCCCAGATTTCTGTTGGATACTCCTTTTGATTTTCACCAAGTGGATTGACACACTTCCACAATCTCTCATTCTTACGCACATATAATTGTAAAGCACCTAAGTTTTGCATTACTACCATCTGATGTTCAACTGCACTCTCGAGAGCCTTCTTAACATCAGTATCACGATAACTTGGATCTCCATAATGAATACAATCAGCAATGTTCGCCTCAGTTGGCATAATCTTCTCATTCTTTAACGTATCCAAGGCAAGTATGATAACCCCCATAAGGCTTAGCACATAATCGGAAGGGTTTGTGGAACCTCCCCACGCACCATTAACAGATACATTACTACTGCCAATTGCAGTGGAAGGCGGTGGCAAAATCTCTTGCCCAGAGAGTGGATACCTGTTTGCTTCTTTCTCACTGTAAAATGACTGTTTCTTCTGAGGTTTATATACTTTCGGGGGGCCATTCAAGTTTAGATGGTGAGAAGAATTAATATTGGGAGTTGGCCTCACCTCTCCTCCATTACTTGGTAGTGGTGGCGGGGGTGTGTTTGGCCTCATTGGCATTGTTAGGCAATTTTGATAAGGGTTAAAAGGGTTACTAGGATTCACCCAAGAAGATCCAGGATAAATGATATTTGGAGAAGTTCCAGGTCCTGTGAAAGGAATTCCTGTATTATGAGGAGCAGATAAATTTTGAGAATCATTAAAATGAGTAGGGTACCCTTGTCCTTGCTGATTAAAGTTCACATTAATATGGTCTTCTTGAGCTCCCACCACTGGACTTGAAGTTCTTGGCAAACTGGGTAGAGTCACAGTTCTCCGAATTTGTTTGCTCTTAAATTTAGTATCTGGACCCCTTCCAAGATTCCCAAACTTCTGATTCACTGCATAGAGACTTTCATGGAACGGATCCGCAGATTGGTTGGAAATGCTGATGGGCATAGCTAATGTCTCACAATTCGAAACATTTCCAATGCTGTTAGTGACAAACTGCTTCGATTCGATGTTAGTAAGAGGTGGACCTCCTGATGAAAGACTTGTCCAGAGCCATACATTCTTTGCTGCAGCAACAAGTGCTGCTGATGCTTTTTGAGGTTGTGCTAGAAGAATATTATATCTACGCATTCGCAACTGATGGAGAGCATTTGAAAAATCTCGATCACCAGATATCAACAAATAATTAGCAGGAGCAGGATTGTCCACTGCCCAAAATAGCATGTCCACCAGAATCTTCTTATCACTGGCATCTTTAACACCTGTAATGCATACAAAGTTAATAGTCAATTCAATGAGCAGTCCATGAAGAACAAGATATGATGCCTTCTAAAGAACAAATAACATTTAGTAGGTCATTATAACACATGAGCAGTCAACATGCTTCAGCATTTAAAGTTATACTAACAGTCAGCAGTGTTGCAAAAAATCGGTCTAGGCAGCTGCCTAGGCGCCCCTAGGCCAAGGGGATTTTACCCTTAGGCAGACATTAGTCAGCCAGCCGACTAGGCAGCCTAGGAGCCCGAGTCGGCCAACTCGGCGCCTGAGTCGGCCAAACTAGGTGCCCGAGTCGGCTAACTAGGCGCCCTAGTGTTTTTTCTTTTTTTTTTTGTGCTGTTTTTCTTATTAATTTATTATATTATTACTCGGCTGCCTAGGCGCTAAGTGCCCCCCGGCCCCAGGTGCCCGACTAGTGCATAGCGCCTAGCGCCTTTTACAACATTGCCAGTAAGAGGAAAAAAAGACCATAACAAAGAATTGTCCAATAAACCTAAATGATCAATTGATAATTGAATGTTAAATTTGCGTATTTAAATAGGCAATTCTAAGTTTACAAATGCAAGATAATATAGTCAAGATTGATTATAATTGTCAATAAAATAATTGTATAGGTATGGTTCAAACCAAATACGGGACATAAGGGAGAGCAAATAAAAATTAGGGCATAAAATATTAAATATATACTAATATTGAAGAGTTAACTGCTGATTGCCAAACAAGGACATTTCGAGATAGTTTCTCACTTCAATTTGTTGTGTGATTTGAATACTCTTTTTCTCAATAAATCTTCCAAGTAGTTAATATGTTGGCTTAATTATATTTTTTATTTTTCTATTTTTTTAAAACTATTATTATTATTATTATTATTAATTAATTAATTAATTAATTAAATATATATATACCCTTAGGTCATTTTACATGTTAATCTAGACAGCTAATTTTTTCAAATATGTTTTTACCAACCGTTGATATAATCCGCTGGTCAAATTCGCTAATATAATCCGCTAACGCTAACCGCTAATTGCTGATTGTCAAACAAGGACATTGCGAGGTAGTTCTCACTTCAATTTGTTGTGTGATTTGAATACTCTCTTTGTCAACAAATCCTTCAAGTAGTTAATATGATTGACTTTATTAATTATATTTTTTAAATTTTTTCATGGTATTAATAAAATACTTGGTAAATAAATATATAGCATTATTTTGTATTATAACTTTGATATTTAATTAAAAAATAGTGCACAAAAAAATAATAGACAATGTAGTGAATATAATTAATTGATGAATTTGAATATAAATCATTTTTACATTGGAGAAAAATAAAGACAATATAACTAATAAAATTATTTCTCTCAATTAATTTATTGATAATGAATAATTTTTTTGAAAGACATTGTAGGGACAATGTAGCGAATATAATCAATTGATGAATTTGAATGTAAAGAATTTTTATATTAGAGAAAAATAAAGACAATGTAACTAATGAAATTATTTCTCTTATTTAATTTATTGATAATGAATAATTTTTTTGAATAAAGACATTGTAGATACATAATTCTAAATTAAAGAAATGAATATGTATTATTTTTTTTTGTAGCTACTAAATCATTATTTAATTTAATAAGAGTAAAATAGAGTACTAATTATGCCAACTTTGATTGGGATGAAGTTCAAACCTAAGACATTTCTTATTGAAATCAATGAGTAAGTTAACGGTGAACTAACAAAATTAACGGAAAAGATAATATTTAATGGAAAAGTTAACGGATAATCATATTCATTAAGGATAAATTAAGAAATCTTAAAGAAAAATTAAAATCTGATCAATCTGAGACATTCATTTGATTAAAAAATTTGACCGCCATTTTTCTACCCATTATAGGCCTAACTCTCTTGGGCTCTTATTAGTATATATATATATATATATATATATATATATATATATATATATATATATATATATATATATATATATATATATATATATATATACTAATAAGAGCCCAAGAGAGTTAGGCCTATATATATATATATATATATATATATATATATATATATAGGCGGGTTCAGGTGCGGCAGTGTCTTACGGTGCGGTTATTTCTTACGGTGCGGCAACACCAATAGTTCAACAAATATGCACCATCAACGTTATGAAAATACACCACACAAAACAGAGCCCTGCATCACCAAACACACACCATTAGGTGTGAGTAAAAACACTATACACTGTTCGGAAATACACCATTGGGGGTGGTAAGTTATATGGTGTATTTTTTTGAGTCTGTTGTGTATTTTGTGATGTTTTATTGCATTTCATTGTGGTGTGTTTTTATTACACTGTTGGTGCATATTGTTAACACTGTTGGTGTATTCTGGAATTTGACCGCACCGCCGCACGGTAAGACCCCGCCGCATATGAGCGCTCTTATATATATATATATATATATATATATATATATATATATATATATATATATATATATATATATATTAGATAAAAACCTCCCTATTTCTCACCAGTCAAGAAGATATTCAAGCAAACTAGCTTGATAAAGATTGACACGGAGGCTAGAATCTACCCAACTAATACAATTCTGGACATCCAACTTGGATGAACTAATTAGATCTTTCCAAATATACCTTCCAAAGATTCAAAAAAACTTATAAAAGCACAAAAGCAAGGGATCAAGAAAGAAATTGTTAATTCTTCAAAAGACAGCACTCCAAGAAATGGAAATACTGGGAGCTCCAAAGTTGCAATCACAACAGTAAACAAATTAGAGGATCATTGTTTAACTTGAGCCATGTAAAGACATATCAATATATCAAGATCTAAAACAAACATAATATAGCTAAAATATTCCAGTCGTTATATCGTAGACCACGGTGCATAATCAATTATGCACCGCGCATCAAAACGGCGCCGTTTCTTTAAGCAAAGAAACAACGTGCTGTTAGTGTTAACGGAGTGACACTACAGTGTATCTAAATCGACACTGCCTCACGTATTATTTTTATACTATCAAATGAAACTGCAGTTATATCAAAATGATACTGTAGTTGTGGTGAAATGAAACTGCAGTATATATAAAATGAAACTGAATAACATTTCACATATTTGAGTGTATATTGTATAATGAAGCTGTAATTATATCGAAATGATCATGTAGTTGTGTTTTAACGAAACTATAGTATATTATTTTCACATATTTGAGTGTATAAATATTGAATGAAACTGTAGTTATGTTAAACTGAAACTCCAGTGTATACAAAATGAAACTGAAGAACAGAGTTATTTTTTGCGGAAACGAATTCCGTTTCTTTTCATTAAATAAAAAGACGTGAAGAACCGAGTTATTTTTTGCGGAAACGAATTCCGTTTCTTTTCATTAAATAAAAAGACGTCGTTTTGATGCGCGGTGCATAATCGATTATGCACTGCGGGACACGATATAATTTGCCAAAATATTCACTTAGAAAGCTCTTCCAATTCTTTCCCAAAAGAACCACACCCCCTATTTATGAAAGATGAACTATCCATTAAAAAAGCAGCTCTATAAGAATGAAATATTTAAAAAAAAAAAAAAAAAAAAAAAAAAATGGAAAACAACACTAAGAAGTCAAAGAGTAACAATAAAGTTTCAATTTTCACTCAAGCAAAACTCCTGAAGTCCCTACATAGATATCATCTGTGCAGCAAAGCTCATCACAAAGAGATCTAACTCATCAGCAAAGATTAACCCTTCACTCAAAATGATCACAAAAATAATAAAAGTTATAAATTACTTGAATCCATTTCCTCCACACAATAAAAGTCAACGAAAATCACAACCCACCTCGATCACACAACACTCTCGCTCCAAAACCCTATAAGCTACACAATTACACAAAGATACAGGCATCATCATCATGAATCAGAGTATATTACCTGCTGGGACGTGGTTGAGGGCGATGCCAGTGCTATTAAGGGCCTGCTGAATTGAAGGAGAGATCTTGGTGGTGTCGCCATAGGCGGAGATGGAGACAGGCCCACAGTAGTTCATCGCCACCAGCGCGGAGCTTATGTTCTGTGCAATAGCGTGCGGGTCGGAGCCCCTGGGCACCTGGCAGTTCTCTATGTCCCACCACACCGAAATCCTCTCAGCTGCGTACAGCGGCTCGGCCACGCCCTTGGGCGGCGATCCTACGCCGCCGGAGACGCTCATCTAATCTAATCGAGTGTCGGCGAAGAATTAGAAAGAGTAGACTAGTGAGTATGAAGGTATAGTGAGTTACTGAGTTAGCAGCAGCGAGCCACGGGTGGGAAAGACCAAAGTGGGATAAATATGGTGAGTGAGTTGAAGAGAGAGAGAGGATTGGATTGGATTGGATTGGAGGAAAGGTATTGCCGCGTGAAGAAGAAAGGTCGTGGGGTCGGCTTAGCGCGTTGGTGGGAGATGGAATTCTCTGCTTCGGGCTATGAAGTTACGGTGGTGGAACTTTTGGAGTGAAGTTGGAGTAGTTTATTATACAATAGATCCGGATTTACTTGCAACGTAGATTCAGATTTAAAATACACAGTTTACATACTGAATGTTTACAATTTGAATTGTGAATATTTAATATGTAAATTGTAATCATTTAGTAGGTAAGTTGTGAACGTTCATTATATAACTTGTCTTGTGAACATTCAATATGTAAATTGTGTACGTTTGAATCTGGGTCTACAGAATAATTTGGCGTGATGTTGGGGGTTGTCCATTCTTGTTGCATTCCAAAGAATTTTGACTGTATTGCCTCACCAATAATTCAAGTCATTGATCAATCAAAAAATAATTTTGCTTCTAATTAATACTCTCTTCATCTCATTTATATATTTGATTTACTTAACGAGATTAACTAGAGTTGCTTTTAATTTAATTTTTCATAATATGAAGTTTGATAATAGTATAAAAATTACTCCGTGTATATTTAGAAACTGCATTAAAGCTGATGGTTTTATTGGGACCGGGTCCACCATAAACCGGGTATAGGAACATAGGACGGGGGTATGAAAGTACCGACTTTATTACCCGGGGCGCTAAGCCCTAAACAATACGTACAAAGCCCGAGGTACAGGCCCAGAACGATGGCCCAAATATAAAGCATAAGGCCCACGTGGTGGGCTATAGCAAACTACGCTACTGGTAGGAATCGAACCCAGGTAGCTGGGTTGAAAATATAGATCAAGACCACTAGACCGTAGTGCTTGTCGTGTCTGAGTTGCCCCTAGCCAAAGATCCAGGGCCCCTATTTATAGCAAGCCCCCCTCCTCCTCTAGCGTCCACGTGTCCCATGCAATCCATCCCCACTTCCCCATTTATCGCTACGCAAGCGGGCACGTTCGTCATACTTCCATGACTCCCGCGCATACCATCCCGGTCCATCATGCTCGGCGCACCCGCCCAGCACCCCCTCGGGAAGGGGGGGGGGGTGCCTTTGAAAATCTGGGGGGCGCACTGCCCCCGCTGGCCGCGCCTCGGCCTGAGGTCTCCGGCGGGACCCCCCGCTGGCCAGTCGCCGGCCGGTGGTGGAGGCTGCCCTGCCGCAAATATCGCTCATATATATTTGTCGCACCTTAATACATAATGGTTGGTGTGGGTTGATGGTTAGGCGTGCGCTTGCTATGCGGCAAGTCAGGGGTTTGAATCCCACTGGCAGTAACAGTGTTTTTCCTTGCCTTTTATCTGCCCAAGGCCAGTGGCCTTCACTGGCCGCGGTGGTGGGGCGCTGCCGGCACGACCGGTGGCGCGCTCTCCCCCCCCCCCCCCGCCGGCCACGCCTCGCCGCCGGGAGTCCGGCGGTCCACCACCGACCGGCCGCCCTCGGTTTGTGCCCCGGAAATCTTTCTCTCTCCTCCGTTTTGGGCCACCACGCCCCCTTGTCTTCTTAGCCCAATAGGACTTGGACCAATCTCCTATCATCACCACTTCCACTTGGGTCAATACTATGCCAATAAAATGGACCCCCAGGTCCCATATCCCCATCACAAGTCCCCTAGTTCTTTTAGGTATCTTGATGCCTAAAGGAAGTAGAATTCGGTATCACCACCTCCTTTTATTCCATTTCTCAACCTCTCACGCCACTTTCCATTATCACCATTGTTGTGCGTCACGCCATTACTCCGTACCTCTGCCACACACCGCACGTTGCCCTGGCCTTCGCTTCATCACCTAGTGTCGAGAGGTCAAGGTGACTCCTCTATTGTCACTTCTTGGATGCTTCTTGCATTGTACATCTCTTTTGTTGCATTTATTTAGTATGCTTTTGTCGATTTCTCCATGATGCACCTGCATGCTTCTTTTGAATATTCAATGGATGTCTTTGCTCCTTCTCCATGCTACACCTGCATGCAACTTTGTTGCATTTATTTAGTATGTTTTGTCAATTTCTCCATGATGCACCTGCATGCTTCTTTTAAATATTCGATGGATGTCTTTGCTCCTTCTCCATGCTACACCTGCATGCAACCTTTTTTTTTTTTTTTTTTTTTAAGGATGAAGGTAACTGAAGATTGTAGGATGGGGTAGTGTGGGTTGCGATAACCCACACGCCCCCTCCGCCAATGCCATGCGGCTTGCCGGGGGCAAGTCCGCGCATGTGGGTTGCGATAACCCACATGCCCCATCCGCCAAAAATCATGCGGCTTGCCGAGGGCAAGTCCGCGCATGTAGGTTGCGATAACCCACACGCCCCATCCGCCAAAAACCATGCGCCTTACCGGGGGCAAGTCCGCACATGTGGGTTGCGATAACCCACATGTCCCATCCGCCAAAACCATGAGGCTTGCCGGGGGCAAGTCCGCGCATGTGGGTTGCGATAACCCACACGCCCCATCCGCTAAAAACCATGCGGCTTACCGGGGGCAAGTCCGCGCATGTGGGTTGCGATAACCCACATGCCCCATCCGCCAAAACCATGCGGCTTGCCGGGGGCAAGTCCGCGCATGTGGGTTGCGATAACCCACATGCCCCATCCGCCATGGCCGTAGAGCCAGCATGCATAGCACGTAAGAGCACATAGGAGCACATAGTTGAGGTGGCCGTGGGCCAAGCATGCAAAGCACATAGGAGCACATGGTTGAGGTGGCCGCGGGCCAAGCATGCAAAGCACATATGAGCATATAGTTGAGGTGGCCGCGGGTCAAGCATGCAGAGCACATATGAGCATATAGTTGAGGTGGCCGTGGGCCAAGCATGCAGAGCACATATGAGCATATAGGGGCACATAGTTCGGGAAAATAAACACAATCTTTACCTAACTAAGTGTTCAAGTGTACTCACCAGAGTAGCGTCTCGATGTGCTAAGTGTGTTACCTTATAGGGTAGCTCCTCTTGCGAATCAACCATTTGGGCGTACCTCGGAACCTTGCTAGGATGGTAGAGACTACAAACACGGGCTAATCGTAGCGATCCACACAGACGGTGCCAATGATGGTTTTATTGGGACCGGGTCCACCATAAACCGGGTATAGGAACATAGGACGGGGGTATGAAAGTACCGACTTTATTACCCGGGGCGCTAGGCCCTAAACAATACGTACAAAGCCCGAGGTACAGGCCCAGAACGATGGCCCAAATATAAAGCATAAGGCCCACGTGGTGGGCTATAGCTAACTACGCTACTGGTAGGAATCGAACCCAGGTAGCTGGGTTGAAAATATAGATCAAGACCACTAGACTGTAGTGCTTGTCGTGTCTGAGTTGCCCCTAGCCAAAGATCCAGGGCCCCTATTTATAGCAAGCCCCCCTCCTCCTCTAGCGTCCACGTGTCCCATGCAATCCATCCCCACTTCCCCATTTATCGCTACGCAAGCGGGCACGTTCGTCATACTTCCATGACTCCCGCGCATACCATCCCGGTCCATCATGCTCGGCGCACCCGCCCAGCACCCCCTCGGGAAGGGGGGGGTGCCTTTGAAAATCTGGGGGGCGCACTGCCCCCGCTGGCCGCGCCTCGGCCTAAGGTCTCCGGCGGGACCCCCCGCCGGCCAGTCGCCGGCCGGTGGTGGAGGCTGCCCTGCCCGCAAATATCGCTCATATATATTTGTCGCACCTTAGTACATAATGGTTGGCGTGGGTTGATGGTTAGGCGCGCGCCTGCTATGCGGGAGGTTAGGGGTTTGAATCTCACTGGTAGCAACAGCGCTTGCCGCGGTGGTGGGGCGATGTCGGCATGACCAGTGGCGCACCCCCCCCCCCCCTCCCTGCCGGCCACGCCTCGCCCACCACTGCCTGGCCGCTCGCGGTTTGTGCCCCGGAAATCTTTCTCTCTCCTCTGTTTTGGGCCACCACGCCTCCACTTGGGTCAATACTATGCCAATAAAATGGACCCGCAGTCCCTTGTCTTCTTAGCCCAATAGGACCTGGACCAATCTCCTATCATCACCACTTCCACTTGGGTCAATACTATGCCAATAAAATGGACCCCCATCAAAAGCAAAGCAATAGAGTCATAAGGGACAGAGTCCCAATACATAACATTAGCCTGAGAAAATGCCGGAGGCGGCAGCAACTAAAGTATGAGCATGTAAGTTTAAAACTCTAGAAACAAAATTTAAAGAGCAATGCGAAAACAAAGACATAGACGCCCTACACTGGTCAACAATCATCCCAACATAGGATCAAACGGTCAAACTCAGGTACTCAGTTTCGAATAGTCGGCCTTGAACAAACACAGGTACTCAGTTCCGAACAGTCGATGAGGAGATCCACAGATAACACATTCCGGTTCTTGAGCCACGATAGAACTTCCTTGCAAGCTAACGATTCCGCCATGAGCGGTTAGAAGTAACTCACAAGCTTACCATTACATGCCGCCACGAACGTGCCATTGTGTGATAGCAAAACAGCCCCGAACGTGGCTTCTCCCGTGAGCGGCTTGTACCCCGCATCGAAGAAGCAGCGCAGCCGAGGAGGAGGTGCCACAGGTTCGACGATATCGGCTGGCGGTGGTGGAGGTCGCAGGTGGACTTGGCGATAAGCATGCAGCAAGGAGACTGCCGCACTCCACGTGTTCCTAGGCCGAGGCAACGAATGCTCCCACACGACACGATTCCTTGAATGCCAAAAGTTACATAAACAGCAGCTACCAGTCCAATTTGTTCCTCTCATAGAAAGCATCACATTCTTGAGCCACATAGCAAAAGTATCACCATCAATATTTGTGATGGGCAAAGAAGACTTGTGCCAAACAAGCCTAGCATAATCACATAAAACAAGTGCATGCATAACATTCTCATGATCAAGACCACACATAGGGCACAAGGAATTCACTTCAACTCTCTTTAAAAGCAAATTTGTAGTAGTAGGGAGGATATCACTCAGAGCTCTCCATAAGAAGGTCCTCCATTTGGGGGGAACTTTCAAACTCCATAAAGCAACCCATTTATCAAAATTATCCGAGTTGCACTCAAAAGTTCCAACAATGTGTCTATAGCCACTTTTCACTGAATAACACCCCTTGGGATCACTCAACCAGTACCAAGAATCCTCATAATCCGGACTAACAGGGATCCTAGAAATACGAGTCACATTCTCAGGTATAAAAATGTCAGATAAGATATCTTGATCCCAAGAATTAGAAATATGGTCAATCAAACCTGAAAACAAAGCTCCACTCAACTCCATAGGCGTAATAGTTTGAACCAATGGACTAGGGTCATCAGGCAACAAATAAAAGTACTATTCCCATTCCCAATCCTCCTCCTCACACCACTACACACCAGATCATGTGCCGCCATTATACTACGCCAACAGTAGCTCGGGCAACTACCCAAAGATGCATCAATAAAAGATACTTAGGAAAATACCGAGCTTTGTAAACTCTAGCTGCCAAAGAACTGGGGTCCGTAAGAAAACGCTAAGCCTGTTTCCCTAGCATTGCCAGATTGAAAGCACGAAGATCCTTAAATCCCAAACCCCCGAACTTCTTTGGGACGCAAAGGCGATGTAACACTCCCGTTTTCTAACACTAGAGCCTAGATAGATAACAAGCTTACACAGCGGAATAAACACTAAATGGGAAATGCTACCGCCGTAGCCACCCATTTTTGGATGACTACCAGGCTAAACTACTAAGATCCAAACTTAATCAATATTAACCAATAAGGGTTGGACAGGCCCAAACTTCTATTCATTAAACAACCCACAACTCAACAAAAGATTAACTTAAAATGTCATAATCATTCCACTACACAAAGAAATCTAAAAGGTTAACTTCATTAATCATCTATTCAAGTCTACAACAAAGGACTTAAAAGATCACATCGATATCAACATAATACTAGTCTCAAAGGGGTTACTAACTAAAGTCAAACTAAAACAATAAAACTATCAAGATAAAGCCTCTAAACGTACTCTCGTCATGTATCAATCCAAACCTGAAATGGGTTAACAAGAAAACAATGGAAAAGAACTCGGTTAGCATAAAATGCTAAGTATAAACCACTCAACCCTGTAAAATAGATATAGGTTTGGAAAATAGTAATTTTTGGCATTTACACATAACTTTACAAGTAGGATCGTAGAGGATCACGCAAGTATAAATATAGATAGGTTCACATATTTACATATCTATAAGTATATATAACAAAGATATATAACTCAACTCACACTCATGCTTAGATAGATAATAAGTACTCACTAAACACAACTTATGCAAAGATGCAATTATAAGAGGATGAGTAAATAAGGGTAGGTATACTTGAAAAGCAATAAGCGTGGAAATAGATGCAATATTGTCTTTAAATCTCCAACGTGAGTAAAACTAAAGGGTTAGATAATAATAGCATTTCAATTGTAATCATATGTAAAGGAATTATCAAGATAAGATAGCCTTAAGGATATAAGTAGAAATCATTTCACATAGATAATCTCACGCTCAAGAAAAATAACATTTTCTAATAATACTACGAGAGGTAACTAAATCGATCATATGGATCATAACTGTAACAATAATCATAAATCATATCGGTATCATCAATCTCATGAATCATCATCATAATGGTGGGGAGGTAGGACTTCACTATACGTGAACGAACCTATCCGGGCACGGTTACGCATAACCAGCCTAATCTCAATCTCTCCCACAAAACATATACATAATGGAATCAGGACTATACCTTAAGTGTGCACACCCCCTAACTAGGATTCCAAGCCCAGCGAGTAGTATCTAAGCCCTAGCAGCCCAGGATTTTTCGACCAAGCTACTTCACACTATCCAGGATTTTTCGACCAGACCAACTTCTATTTACTTCCGAGGGAGCAATGCTCCAACGGGACCTCCAAAAATATATATTTCCTCACACATTTGAAAATACAAATAGTGTAGCACTTGAAAATGTTATTTCTAAAAAATGGGTTCCATACTTGATGCTTAATCATAAATAGGATATAAATATATCATTTGAAATTAAGGAAAGGGGTAGGTGATGGAAATATAAATTGTGTTTGATAAAAGATGAGTAATCATGTATGCATGCCATGCCATAGCTAATTAATTATATATACATATTTGAAAAGGGAATTTATACAAGGATAGGTTTTCAAAACAATGAGTATTTATTAGGCATTTTAATATAGATTTTGGAAATAGTTGAGTAATGATATAAGAACGGTCAAACATTTTGGATGAATGCTCGTACACTTTAAATGTATGGAATATTCATAAATCATGATCATAGACTTTCATAAGACAACTTAAGCAATAACACTCCATCAATGAACTCATCAAATAATGCCTTACATCCATGTAAGCATATTCTCAACACTTTTAATAAAAGCACACTTGATAGAAATAATGAATCATGCTTTGTTTTGAAAAATGGCTTACAAACAATCATGTTTAACATTTTTGGCCCGAACACATCGAATCTCGAGCCGCACAAGTCACCTGGACCCGCGTAAACAAACCATGATCGGACCCAAAAGTGGCAAAAATTTCATTCTGCCAGAGCCCTAGACCTCGCAGGACTAGGCGGGCAGGGCTTGCAAGCCCCGCCACAAGTCTTGCGTGGTCTCGATCATGCCCTGCCACAGTCCTGCATGAACAAATGGAGGGTGAAGGCAGTAGCCTCATTTCTCCTGTGACTCTCTTCGAACAACGACCACAACACACCAAATCAACAACAAAGCATTCCAATCATACCAATAACATAAATCCACAATTAAAACACTAACATAGCATCAATATACACCACATCCATCACCCACAAGCACATCATCCACCAACATTATTACACAAAACACATAATATCAACACTTAGGGTAAAAATGAGAGTTTGGGTTTCAATAGGTTATACCTCAAACTTGCTCCAAAAGCCAAACACCCTATCTTGGGTTAATTCTTGAGCTAGCCACTTTAGCGATGAACCAACCAAACCTTTATTCATTTACCAATATACTACTACTACCAATAATAGTATTAAACCATATCATATCATCTTTATGCTAATAGTTAGTCCATAATTACCCATCCTTTGATAATCACTAATCATTAATCCATTGCCATCCAATCACCATCTTATCATTAGTACTTAATCCATCCAATAATCACCATAATCATTAAACCAATAATCATTTCCATTACTCAATCATAACAATCATCATCCCATTAATACTTCATTAATCCAATAATTAATCTTCCTATTTTAATAGCAATAAATCTAACACCACCATCAATAATAGCCAACAACATACCCATATTACCTTCTTCTCCATAATCATAAACAACTATTCATTAGTAATCCATCATCATAATCTAATAACCTCTATAATATTAATCACCCACATAATCATTATTTAATGACTAATAACCTATCCATAACCATTATAGCATCATTATTCCATCACTAAATTACCATTAATAATCCACACCATTAACCATAAACTCCATCATTTATAGCTTAATCCTCCCCAACAATCATTAAATTTATCATATTAAATCTTAATCACTCTCTTCATTTACCACACTGATTTCACCACTTCAACAACAACAACATAAATATGCTCTTCAACAACAACACTCACCTAGCTCCTACTGCTGCCGAGAGGGATCCACTGTTGGAGACCCATCATTGCCGTCGCTGCCTCACCGGGAAGAAAGGGGGTCATCGGACTGCTGTCGCCGCAAAAAACAGGAGCTGCTACGGCCAAATCTGCGACCATTTCACTTCAAATATTTTCCAGCGAACCAAACGAGCTATTAGTGAGAATAAAAGTTAAGAGTATGTTTTTAGAGTCCAAGTAGTATTTTTGAAATGAGACTGAGAAAGTAATAAATTGTAAAAGTACCTCACAAAATATTTAGGAAGTCATTAAAGTACTTTAACTAAGGTCATATCTAATGCCCACAAAATGAGGGGAGAAAGAAGGAGAGAAGGGTGGGTAGAGGAGGATGGCGAGGGAGAAACAACCTCGAAAGAGACTATCATTCTAGAGGTTATCTCCTCAAACGCGTGCCCAATGGTCTTGTTTGGCAATCAGCGGTTAGCGAAAGCAGATTGTGTTAGCAGTTAGCAAATAGCATATTGTGTTAGCGGGTTTGACTAGCAGATTGTATTAGCGGGCTTGACTAGCGGATTGTGTTAGCGGTTTATAAAAAAGATGTTTGGTAAAATTAGTTGTTTTGGACAGCGGTTGCCATGTAAAACGACATATAAGGACATTAGTGTATTGTTCTTTTTATTGTTATGGGTAATAATCTTATAATAATTATATTTATTTAGAAACTATAAATTATCCATATATTTAATATTTTAAAAAGTGAATAAATAACAATATAACAAAAAATATGAATTCAAATGAACAATACGTTAAAAAAATGAAGAACAAGTCTATATCATAATAAATAATTATGATATAAAATAAGTCTAAGAAGAACGTCTAGCTGCCATCAAACTTGAAGCAATGTCATTGCGAATACATGCCATCTCTTGAGTTCTCATTTCTTCTTCACGTTGAGCAAAATTAACTTCAACATCTTGAAAATATCTGGAAGTATGAATTCAGGATCTTCGTCAATGACTCTAAAAGCTGGGTCTCCAACCGTACTTCTTCTAATATAGTTGTGTAGTGCAAAACATGAACAAATTATCCTATTTTGATGTATTAATGAATATCTTGGCATTTTTTGTAATATCTTACATCGAGCTTTAAGAACACCAAAAGCCCTTCAATACAACTTCTTAACGTTGAATGAGCTCGATTAAATACTTCTCTAGATCCCCTTGGATTTGCCCCATGGAACTCCGATTGATGGTACCTTGTCTTGGGGTAGGGTGTCAAATACCCTTCTCTTTTTGGATAGCCTTTGTCGACCAAATAATACTTGCCTATATATATATATATATATATATATATATATATATATATATATATATATATATATATATATATATATATATATATATATATATATATATATATATATATATAAGCAATATGAGTACATAATCACATCATATAAAATTACCTGGTGGGGGTTTTGGAAAATTAAGGCTTGAATAATTGATCGTGTCAAGAAAAATGCGAGAATCATGAGTCAATCCCTCCCATCCTGTTAAAACGTATGTCAATAGCAAATCATAGTCACATGCTGTTAAGACATTTGTAGTTGGTATCCTTTCCTT